TTGCACTCAATGCACTGCCATGGCTCCTGGCGAACTCTTTGAATCAATTCTGGCGAGTATTTTAAACAATTTGGATGCCCTGTGTGAGCAAGGGGAGAGAGAATGAGAAAGAGAGAGAGAGAGAGAGAGAGAGAGAGAGAGAGAGAGGGAGGGAGGGAGGGAGAGAGAGAGAGAGAGAGAGAGAGAGAGAGAGAGAGAGAGAGAGAGAGAGAGAGAGAGAGAGAGAGAGAGAGAGAGAGAGAGAGCAAGGAATGTACCTCATGCAAGCCACAACCAGGCCACAGTGACAAGGAACACCGTACACATGCAGCAACACAAACTAACCAGAGAGTCTAAAGGTGTTACCTTCTTAGGCGAGAGCAGCTAACATGGCCCATTGGCATTACAGTGTGCAGGACTGTAGCCAGCCTGAAATTGAAGAGGGGCGACTACAAACGCTGCTTAGTTTGTGCATAGTGGTACAAATCTGCATCACTCCACACTGATGGACCGAATGGAGTAGAGCATGGTACAGCAGTGTAGGCCTGGTGCCACTTTCACTCAACTGCTAGTGTTGTCTGTGCCAATGAGCCGGCACAGGTAGCTTGAAAGGCGTAGTGCCATGCTATGTTGCTGTGGCCACAGCCTTGTGCACTACTAACTGATGACATCAAGGAGAGTCGCAACCAGAAGCCCAGACATTAGGAAACTAAAGCCAACAGATAGCGCATATCCGGCTGCACAACAAGAATCAGTGGCGCGAGTAACACAAGCAGTCAGAGTGGAAGGACTAGATACAGTTCCACCATAATCACATACCACTGTTGCCACAATCATGACAAGATATGAAGTCCTCCGGGCCAGCCTCGCCCAGGCAGAAGCTACAGACTAGGCTAGGTGTTGCTTTGGGCCGATTTTTAGACTGTACAGGGGAGAAGAGAGGGAAAGCGGAACATCGTGTGTTGATATTCAAAGGCATGGATGGACATGCACACGTACACATGCACACACATAACCACAGACAGACAGACAGGCAGGCAGGCAGACAGACAGACAGAGAGACAGACAGAGAGACAGACAGACAGACAGACAGACAGACACAGACAGACACAGAGGCACACAGACACAGACAGACATAAACACAGTGTACATATATACATAAAATCAGAGACAGACCGAGAGACAAAGATGCAGAATATAGATGCACAGTCATACAGACATACAGATACACACATGCTGACTACACTGCACGAACACTGCGTACCCTATCACCATCAGTGACAAGATCATCAGCATCACTCACCAGTTTCTCTTTGACAACAATCGGGCTGGCAATGCGATAACCCTCGCCTTCCAGTCGGAAGCTGCCTGCCAAAATCCCCTTCTCCAATGCCACATCAACCTACAGGAAGACAAGCAAAAAACAGATTCTAGACCTCGTCTACCTTGCCGATGCTCAGGTTCTGAATGATTAGTTAGCACAGTATAAAACATACACACACACACACACACACACACGCACGCCACACACACAACACGCACACGCACACGCACACACACACACACACACACACACACACACACACCACACACACACAAATACCCACCTGCTGTGGCAACTCATCACCATGAAGCTGGTACTGGTCCCGTATGTACTGCGTAATCTCATCCGGAGTGCAGCCATCACCATCATTCAGGCTGGACATAGCTCTTTTGCACATCTTACGCATGTCTGCCAAAGCTGTCGTTGAGCGATTGACGGTAGTAGACGAAGGATCTTTGTACGATGGCTTGTCTTTGAAGATGATCTATAGAGACACGAGGGGAAGGACAGCACAAGAGACAGCAAGAGAGAGAGAGAGAGAGAGAGAGAGAGAGAGAGAGAGAGAGAGAGAGAGAGAGAGAGAGAGAGAGAGAGAGAGAGAGAGAGAGAGAGAGAGAGAGAGAGAGAGAGAGAGAGAGAGAGAGAGAGAGAGAGAGAGAGAGAGAGAGAGAGAGAGAGAGAGAGAGAGAGAGAGAGAGAGAGAGAGAGAGAGAGAGAGAGAGAGAGAGAGAGAGAGAGACGAGGGGCAGAACAGTACGAGAGGTAAGTGGCTGAATGGCTACATGTGTTGGAGAACATAGTCAACAGACACGATCATCTATGGCATTGGCAATAATGAGGCAGGCCAGAACACACCAATCCTACCACACGCTAAAGGTGATTACTGCCCGTGTCAAGTTACGTCATGAAATAAGCACACTACGCTGTTGTCACAGTGAAGCTAAGGGACGGGATTGAACTGTCTGCGCAGGAGCGTAGCCAGGATAGTAATCAAGGGGGGGGGGGGGGGGGGGGAGGTGCCGCTACTTTCCCCTCACAAAAGTACATGCACTTATGTTGGTCCTTTCACGTATATTTTTTGATCCGCGATACGGCGGGGGGGGGGGGGGGGGGGGAAGCACAATTAGCCCCGCATTTGATGCTGAAGATTTATTAGCGATTGGCAAAACCTCCAACCAGGGAGTAGTAATACGGTATTTTTACTACTCCCTGCTTCCAACTACAAATGTAATGATGAGCTAAGTCCTGGATGCTGCTTTCTCCAGAATTATCACACTCTCCATCGGACAGTCAGATGTCTCGATCCTTTTTCTCTTCGTCGTGTTTGACAGTGCAGTAAGGCATCCTTGATCAAACGTACACTGTATTTCCCACGAAAACTGCAAACTGCACTTCAACGTTACTTTCACTCTTCTGCTGTTGTGCCCACACTTGCAACACACAAAAAAAACTTCTTTGGCTTTCCACAAACCTCCAACGCGACCACTCAGCAGCCAGAACTACATCATTATACAAAACATGGCGCGAACAAACTGCTATGTCTGTAGTGTGTGTTTCCTTTTCCATGGACCGAATTGCTACTTCTACCCATGGCGTGTTTGTGTGATTCTTTGTTTCTAACAAAACATGTGGAGGGCGATACAAATCATGTGCTGAGTCTGCCAAGGTCTGACGTGATACTTCAGAACGGCAGGTACGAAGCGGAGTTGCCCTTGACTGGAAGTTTCATTGCAAAACGGCCTATCATCAGACAAATACTGTAAAAGCAGAACTATTCGTCTGGAATTTAATTTCGTCTTTTTCGTCCAAGGAGCTTTGGGACTAAATTAAATGTAGGACTAATGTCTATTTGTCCAGCTTTTCTATACACTCTTATGATCCATGGACGAAATTTTCAACCGGACGAACTCCTTTTCTTTGGAGTTGGACGAAATTATTGACCGACGAAATGTTCTACCTCTACAGTAGTAAACTTCAATTAGGAACATGTGGATTGGTTTCAGATATTAAAAACACATAGGTCTGAACCAGGTAATACATGTAGTACAATACCTACTACAATCAGATCTCGTTTATCCGGATCCCTCGCCATCCGGAAGAAATTCGTTGGTTACCGATTTACAGCATATGCCATGCACACATACAGTATGTGTGTCCGATTATCCGGTTCCCTCGCCTATCCGGATACTTTTCTGGAAAACGGATGTGTGCGGTTATGCGAGGTCTGACTGTACATTGTACTTGTACTCCCTGGCCTGAACAGGGATTGCTACAGTGTGCGATGTGCAGAGTTGCACATGTGATCAGCGGTCCGCGTATTACGGTCTCTCTCGAACCAGTTCCGAAACAAGATCGAACATGTTTGAGGGGGTACTCCCCCCCCCCCCCCTTGTCTATGCCCCTGCGGCGCCTGGACTCGCTTGGAAGGTGCATGATAACATTTAGCGCTGATACCTTACTGCTGCTGTTGCTGTTTCAAATCTTTATTCTCACGATGGCCTATGGCCAATAAGAGATGTTGTTGTTGTTCAACACTCTTTTCAACATCCATGTGTGTGTGTGTGTGTGTGTGTGTGTGTGTGTGTGTGTGTGTGTATGTGTGTGTGTGCGCGTATGTGTGTGTGTGTGTATGCATGCGTGTATGACCATCTGTGATGCTTCTCTCTCTCTCACACACACACACATACACACACAGTGACACACACACACACAGTGACACACACACACACCACACACACACACACACACACACACACACACACACACACACACACACACAGTGACACACACACACACACACACACACACACACACACACACACACACACACACACACATACGCAAGCACACACATTGGTTCTACCTTGAGGATTTGCCCAGCTCTGACACCCTGCTCGAGAAACGTCCGAGTCTCAGTCCATGTATAGCCATGCTGAGACTCCATGACTCGACATATGTGGTCATCACTGGGCCTCTGCTTCTGCCCCTTGATCTTGAAGATTGCATCCAGGATCCACTTCAATATCTTCGCATCCAGATCGCCACTGGGAATCTCCTCGGGCTGAGGAGCAGCCTGTGCTTTCGGACGAGCAGGCATTTTGGCTCTGACAGGGGATTTAATTGTTGGGCTTTCACGGGTTCTGTCTCGGCGCTTCAGAACTTCGAGGATTCAGTTATCGCTTCTTGAAGTCCCCTCGTGCCAATTATACTGCAGAACTCCGTCGTACATTACGCACAGAAGCAACAAAACGAATTGAAATATGAAAACTCCTTCTCTGCTTCATCACAACAGCTTCTTTTCATTCTTTTCTGTGTGTGTTGTGCACAAAAGTCAGTTGAACGAAGTCAAATCTGGGAAGATGACGCAGCTCGCGGATGTTCATGACGACATATTTTCGCGGGTCTACTCACGATCACGTTTCTGTTCATGGTGATGTCATTGCCACACTGATTTTTCTCAAAAATAATTACTGACCATGATGTCATAATAATAATTATACATATTTGAAATATATTTTTGATATTGGTATTTTGACGACTCCCTGATACACGTCAATGCCAATGGGCCATGTAGTTCAAAACAGAAAACGCATCCTAGTCCATGGTAGTCTGTACTGCTTCTTGTGCTGTCTGATCTGTTGAACCTAGCAGTGTTTTATTCCAATCAAGAATAGCTCAAATTTGCCATTTTTATGTGCTACACTGAGCTCCAAGTCCAGGCAGGATAAATTGGAGGACCTGAACGCTCGTAGAATGGAAGACCTGAAGTGCACCAAGGAAAATGTGAGTGAAATCAAAGGAATACTGTTATTGCTTTGGATCTGTCATAAAATAAGTAACTTTCGAAGTCTGAAGACAATGAGGAACTGTCTCTACTGGAATGATCTTTAACACGTGACCAATGCATCTTAGATAGACTCAGATAGAGAGCCAAGAATTAATTTATAGCAAAGAAAAGAACCAAGGAACTAAGTTGCGCTGTAATGTCCACTAACACCACTAGTTACTTGACAATCAGCTCATGCGATAACATCGCACGGCACTGACCGACGCCTGTTGGAGTGCACATCCAAGACCCCGCTAGAGCTGATTGGCAGGTAGTTGTAGAAGGTCCGTACCGCCGGTCAGTATAGTGCTGTGCAATGTTATCGCATGAGCTGATTGTCAAGTAACTGGTGGTGCTAGTGGACATTATAGTGTAGCGTGTAGTTCCATAGTCCTTTGTTTGCTATAAATACACCATAGCTTGGAGACCCTAGGTCTGTGGGGATTGCCCTAGAGAAAGATGAATAAATACTATACTACTATACCATAGGTTAGTGATAGAGTATCGCTCACCTAGAATGGAGGTCCCTGGTTCGAGTTGTACGTGGTGCGATCGTGGTGGTGGCAGTCATTTTTCTTCAGACTTTTTTCCCTTTTCACCTCAAAACTAATGAATTGTGAAAAATAAATACTTGAATCTTATACAATTTGAAACAAAGACGGACTGGAGCCGAAGACAGAAGTAAGATGACACCTGGTTTTTTTTAGCTCAAATCGGTCAAGTAATACAATCTCACTATACAACTTCCCACTGAGCTTTCCCAAATACGTGACTATACATGTAAATAAAGTACTTTGTGAACGTGGCAGGGATACATGACCAGTTTCCGGCACTGAGCAAGTACAAGTGTGTGTGTGTGTATGTGTGTATGTATGTGTGTGGGCTTGTGTGCGTGTATGTGTGTGCGTGTGTGTGTGCACATGTGTGCACATGTGTGCACATGTGTGTGTGTGTGTGTGTGTGTGTGTGTGTGTGTGTGTGTGTGTGTGTGTGTGTGTGTGTGTGTGTGTGTGTGTGTGTGTGTGCATGCATGTGTGGAGAAGGTGTGTGAAGAGTTTCCTTGCATTGCACACTGGCATTACTAATTCAGAACGGTATCATGAACATGTCCCGCGTACATGTACGTGCAACCCAAGCGGACCAACAACACTTTGAAGTACAGTAAACCCTGTAACCAAAGGTCACCGTGACTAGCGACCAGCCTGGTACTACAGACCACCGTGACTAGCGACCAGCCTGGTACTACAGACCACCGTGACTAGCGACCAGCCTGGTACTACAGACCACCGTGACTAGCGACCAGCCTGGTACTACAGACCACCGTGACTAGCGACCAGCCTGGTACTACAGACCACCGTGACTAGCGACCAGCCTGGTACTACAGACCACCGTGACTAGCGACCAGCCTGCTACTACAGACCACCGTGACTAGCGACCAGCCTGGTACTACAGACCACCGTGACTAGCGACCAGCCTGGTACTACAGACCACCGTGACTAGCGACCAGCCTGGTACTACAGACCACCGTGACTAGCGACCAGCCTGGTACTACAGACCACCGTGACTAGCGACCAGCCTGGTACTACAGACCACCGTGACTAGCGACCAGCCTGGTACTACAGACCACCGTGACTAGCGACCAGCCTGGTACTACAGACCACCGTGACTAGCGACCAGCCTGGTACTACAGACCACCGTGACTAGCGACCAGCCTGGTACTACAGACCACCGTGACTAGCGACCAGCCTGGTACTACAGACCACAGTGACTAGCGACCAGCCTGCTACTACAGACCACCGTGACTAGTGACCAGCCTGCTACTACAGACCACCGTGACTAGCGACCAGCCTGCTACTACAGACCACCGTGACTAGCGACCAGCCTGCTACTACAGACCACCGTGACTAGTGACCAGCCTGCTACTACAGACCACCGTGACTAGCGACCAGCCTGCTACTACAGACCACCGTGACTAGCGACCAGCCTGCTACTACAGACCACCGTGACTAGTGACCAGCCTGCTACTACAGACCACCGTGACTAGTGACCAGCCTGGTACTACAGACCACCGTGACTAGCGACCAGCCTGCTACTACAGACCACCGTGACTAGTGACCAGCCTGGTACTACAGACCACCGTGACTAGCGACCAGCCTGCTACTACAGACCACCGTGACTAGTGACCAGCCTGCTACTACAGACCACCGTGACTAGCGACCAGCCTGCTACTACAGACCACCGTGACTAGTGACCAGCCTGCTACTACAGACCACCGTGACTAGCGACCAGCCTGCTACTACAGACCACCGTGACTAGCGACCAGCCTGCTACTACAGACCACCGTGACTAGCGACCAGCCTGGTACTACAGACCACCGTGACTAGCGACCAGCCTGCTACTACAGACCACCGTGACTAGCGACCAGCCTGCTACTACAGACCACCGTGACTAGAGACCAGCCTGCTACTACAGACCACCGTGACTAGCGACCAGCCTGGTACTACAGACCACCGTGACTAGCGACCAGCCTCGTACTACAGACCACCGTGACTAGCGACCAGCCTGGTACTACAGACCACCGTGACTAGCGACCAGCCTGCTACTACAGACCACCGTGACTAGCGACCAGCCTGCTACTACAGACCACCGTGACTAGCGACCAGCCTGCTACTACAGACCACCGTGACTAGCGACCAGCCTGCTACTACAGACCACCGTGACTAGCGACCAGCCTGCTACTACAGACCACCGTGACTAGCGACCAGCCTGCTACTACAGACCACCGTGACTAGCGACCAGCCTGCTACTACAGACCACCGTGACTAGCGACCAGCCTGCTACTACAGACCACCGTGACTAGCGACCAGCCTGCTACTACAGACCACCGTGACTAGCGACCAGCCTGGTACTACAGACCACCGTGACTAGCGACCAGCCTGGTACTACAGACCACCGTGACTAGCGACCGGCCTGGTACTACAGACCACTTTGCCAGGCACGGACGGTCTCACATTCATATATGGTTGTGCCGTGCAAACCTCTAACTAAAGGCCACCTGATGTGGAAATCCCCTACAAATCTCCTACAACATTTAATTGCACACAACCAGCACACTCACTACACGAAACGGCCACTGTACGGCTATAGTTAGATTCTATTGAATGAAGTGAATACATGGAATACATGGGATGGTGAAATTATGTGGGAGAGCACTAGGACTGGCTAGTCCAGGCAGACAGAGACCTGGATCGTGCACGAAAGGAAACCATGGAATGCCATAATCAGACTAACAACACAGATGATTGCATAATGTAACAAGGAATGATTACTGCCGGCACACCTCCGTGCAGAGTGTCTAGTCTTGTCAGCCAGACGTTCACAATATGCTTATGACATTACATGCCTCACCCAGTACTCAGAAGAGCCAAACCACTAGGTTGTTACAAGCACCTCTACACTCTCTAGGCAATGTTGACACCAATCAATGCATGCTCTACGGTCATATCTACACAGGGAATGCATGTCACACTGTACTGATGATGTCACCACAATTCCATTTCACCCCTCCGCCTGGTGACATACTAGGGCAGCACTAGAAGTCATAACACAGTTTGTAGTAGCAGATATCAGAACAGTGCTCATGGACGATAGCGAGATGGCAAGCTGATCGTGTTGCGGTCACGCAACTGCCTTTGCGGTTCAGGGAGGCGAGCGAGCCGATAGCCGTGCCAGTCAACGTCATGGTCAGCATCGTCATCGGTGGAATCTTGGACAGGCGGGAGAGGATCGGCACCCTGAGTGGGTGCGGGACTTGGAGGACGGCCGTCGGACTTCAGGAGGTCCACGTTGATGACCTTCTCAGCACCATCACGGTGTATTACGACGGTCGACGGGGAGATAACTTTCGTGACCGACCAGCCCGGTTGAAACGGAGGCAGACGCTTCTGGTGGCGCGAGGGCTGTTTCAGTTGGACAGCATTGCCGGATTGGAAACGGCAAGCAGCATCGTCGGCACGGAAATCACGGGAAGACATAGCCGAGTCGAGGAGATCGCGAACACGGGCACACCGTTCGGCATGCTCAACCTGCCAGGCAGGCGACTCCAGATCGGCGCTCAGAACGATCGTCTTCGGCTGCCAGCCCAGCATGGCCATCATCGGGGTGATGCTCGTAGCCCGGTGGGGTCGGGTTCGGTAGTGATGTACAAGTACCGGCAGATCTGGCACCCAGTCAGTGGTGTCATCGCCTAGCTTCCGGATCATGGTCAGCAGGGCGCGGTTGAACCGCTCGGCGGAACCCTGCGACTGGGGATGGCGCACGGCGCCGGTCTTGACAGTGATGCCAAAGGCGTCAAACAGGGACTTCACGAGGGCGTTGGAGAACTCTGAGCCGTTGTCTACGCGATCCTGAATGGGATCCATTCCTACCTACCTCTGCTTACACTGAAGATATGGTGCATCTGTTCTTCCTCTCCTCGCTTTAGGTAAACAATTGCGCTTTCTCCTCTTGGTATTCGACATTCAAATCCCATACTATTCGAAGGTTAGTTCGAGTACGCCTCTAACAGCACAATGTCCTTTCTGCTGCTGCTGCTTCTCTTGCTGCTGCTGCTACTAGTGCTGCTGCTGCTGCTGCTGCGGCTGCTGCTGCTGCGGCTGCTGCTGCGGCTGCTGCTGCTACTATTGCTGCTGCTGCTACATTTCTTCTTTGTTTCTGGCGTGGTGATAATGTGATGTGTACGGGTACTGTGACAACTCATGCTGGTCTGATTAATTTGTTGAGTCTGTTGTCCATGCCCATTGCCTGCACCCTGTCTCACTGTGTGCAGTCTGATAATTCCACTGGCTAGCGAGGACGTGGACTATCTGAGAGCCGATGGACTGGTGATGCCGGAAGGGTAAGCATCGCGTCACTGTGCCTACCACTGTGGCCATTGCTGCAGTCCTCGCAGTACATGGTGTGTTCAGTGTACTGAGTAATGAGTGCTATGCTGCTGTAGAGTTGTGCCCTTTTTGGTGATGCTACTTGTGAATTAGTATAACTCTAGGTACCGGTAGTAGCGTGGCAGTGTCGGAGCCACAAACACGAGTGGTAGAAGTGACACAAATTTAAGCTGTTGAAACCAACTACGAGTATCTCTAGACTGAAAACAACAAGTGGCTTCTCAGCCAGTAACACCCAGACCGGACCGTCTTGGGGAGTAAAGCTACTAATGAACATGTAACATGAGTCACCGCTCAGGGGTGTCTTCTAAGGACCGATCAGAATGTAAGAAATATTTTAGTCCTCCAGCAGAGCCTGGATAAGAAAGGAAAGGATCTGGGGCGCTCAGCTGGCAAAGGTAGCATGTAAATACGACTATAACTTGACCATGTCATATAAGCAATACCCATACAACCAAGGGACAAAACTAGTGAGTTGTTGACGACCTACCAAACAGCATAACTTGTATGAGTCATTTTTCTGTTTAATTTGTTCTGATGTTGACTAGCTGTGATGCACCCGTGTATGCAGGTGAAGACAGGTCAGATGATGATTCCGATAATGAGGTGAGTTGTGAAATCATTCTTTTGCACAACTCTGCTAATGCAATCTAACCATGTATATGCTTTCTCTGTGCCATGTGTCTTGATGGCCGTGATGTGAGTTTGTACAGCAGCAGCAAGGAAGTGCTGACGGGTGTGTTGGCCTGGTCTTGGGGTGTGTGTGTGTGTGTGTGTGTGTGTGTGTGTGTCTGCCAATGTGTGTGTGTTTGCATGTGTTTGTTTGCACATGTGTGTGTGTATGTATGTGTTTGCACGTGTGTGTGTGTGTGTGTGTGTGTGTGCGCGCGCGCACGTGTGTGTATTTGTACCTGCCACCTTTGTTGGTTTTATGATCCATATACGTTCTATTCAAAGTATACTTAACTGTTGACCAATGAGCTACTCTTTTGTGCAGTCAATGGTGATATTGAAGCCTATTTCAGATCCACTGTGATTTAGCTACCCACACTAGTAGCTTGTATTACCTTCACTGGGGGCAGGGGTGAATGCAATTGGATCCAAGGAAGGATACCTTGATGCCGTCAATCCTTTTCTGCACCTTGTCCTCACCCACTTGCTGAGGTGTGGTGAGATCGTTTCCAAGCTCACCCAGGGTTTTGGGATTTCAGGGGTGTTAGCTGTTGGACGGCTAAATAGCCTATAGAGTCAGTCCTCTGCAAGATTCCTTTTGAATCTCTCTTCCCTCTCCCGGGGAGACCCACGTGACCAGTTTGGCAGTGAGCAAGTACAAGTATGTATGTATATGTGTCTGTGTTTGTGTGTGTGTGTGTGTGTGTGTTTTACAATGATTCGACTGTCACTCTGTTTAGAAATGGGAGCATGATGAATCGTACGACACTGCTGCTGTAAGTCGTTCATTCTCGTCACACTCTGAACAAGAGTAGCACACTGTGTGTGTGTGCGTGTGTGTGTGTGTGTGTGTGTGTGTGTGTGTGTGTGTGCGTGTGTGTGTGTGTGTGTGTGTGTGTGTGTGTGCGTGTGTGTGCGTGTGCGTGCGTGTGCGTGCTTGTGCATGGGATCTGGGACCCCATGAGTGTTTACGGTAACCTGTATGTACTTCACGGTGTTCTCACAGGTCACATATGCACTCCACCCTCCCTTATCTGCACTTCGCAAACTCAGGCACCATCAGCCTGAGTCCACTGTGTGGTATCTTGACTACTACTCTGAACACATTTGCACGTTGTGTGCGCAATGTTGTGTGCACAAGGTTGTGTGCACACACTGTTGTGTGTTGTGTGCACAATGTTGTGCGTTGACTATCAATATGACTTGACTGGCAATACGAGCATCCGTTTGTCCAGATAAAGTGTACTCTCTGTTTGTTCCTTACCTCGCTCTACCATGTCTGCTTCACACATTAACTTTGTGTGTGTGTGTGTGTGTGTGTGTGTACATGTGTGTGTTTGTGTGTGTGTGTGTGTACATGTGTACATGTGTGTGTGCATGCATGTGTGTGTGTGTGTGTGTCTGTGTCTGTGTCTGTATGCGCTCATGTGTGTCTGTGTGCATGTGTGTTGTTGGCTTGTTGTTGGCGGTGCAGGCACCAAAGTTGCCGAATTTAGTAAACAACATCAAGCGCTCAATCTCATCTCTGGGCGGCGAGGTTTTCCCCAAGTGTAGCTGGTCAGCACCGAGGGTGAGTATGAGTGGGATAGTCGAGCAAGAGCCGGACATGGTGTGGTGGCACTGATGGTTGCACAAAAAATGATGTCCAGGGGAAATGGTCAAACTAAAGAGAATTGAGCCAGGTTGTCCAGGGGACTCGAGCCTCCAGGTTGGCATGCACATGTATGTGACAGTGAGGTGTTTGCTCTGGAGCGTTATGGGCTTGCATTCTTCACAGCACGTTCTGTTTTTGCAACACTAATGCCTTACGTTGTGTGTGTGCAACGGAGGGAAATTGTTCTAACACCTTATGCTGCTGGCACATGTTTGTTACAGGATGCCCAGTGGATGTCGTTTAATGGCACACTGCGCTGTCAGACAGCCTACGATGTGTTCCTGTTGTTGAAGACGTCCGACTTTGTTACACACGACCTCACACAGCCGTAAGTATGCACCTCATTGTTTTGGCATACGATCTTCACGGCGTGCGTATCTTACTTCGTTGTTTGATGTAAAAAAAAGAGTTTTCCTTTTATAGTGACGGTGTGAGGCTTGCCTTTACATACTAGTGTTACAGGACTGGCCGAAGCGGTTTTGATTGGTCCGGCCATACCGTAACCTAGGTTACCTTGTTGCAGCCGTAGGTCTCTGTCTTGCTGTTACCGGTAACTAGGCTTGCATCTTTCTCCTCAGGTACAAGGACTGTTCGGACAGTGATGATGTCGACGAGGTGGCTGGCTCTTATGAGGTTAGCTATGTCTGCTTGCGATCCCTGCCTCTGTGTGTGCGTGTGTGTGTGTCTGTGTCTGTGCGTGTGTGCGTGTGTGTCTGTTCATGAATATATTCTTGTCGTGTATGCTAAGTGTCAGCTGCAGCAACGAGTGACTTGTTTCTAAGCCAGCCAGATAGATCAGAGAATATAATATTATGTGTTTCCCCCTCTTCTACATAGCTTGTACTGCGAAAATGGCGGACGGTGATCCCGGGGATGGAGTTTCGCTGTTTCGTCAAGAGCCACACGCTTGTCGGTAAGAGTGCATGCTGTAGAGCTGTCTACGTTGAAGTCAAAATGGCCTTGAATGGAGAGAGACTGAATAGAGCATGGGATGGAGCAGTGAATGAAGCATTTAATGCAGCTTTGAATGGAATTCTCTTGGTGATGCATAACACACAGTACTTATGGCCTCCCTCCGTCTTGTACCTGAGTTCTTTCACTCGCTGTTTGTCTCTTCTCCCGGGGTCAGGCGCTTGCCAGCGTGATGCTTCAGCTTTCTACGAGCACTTGCGTGAGCAGCACAAGACGAAAGACAGCAGCGACGGTGACTATCCGGCGTTCGTTGAGCACTTGCGTGGTGACCTGACCAGCGAAATCCAACAGTTCTTCCAGCAGAACATCAGCGGCAAGTTCCCTGACCCAGATTGTAAGTACATGTACCGTGTGTACGGACTGTAACTGCAGTACACTAGGCTAGGCTACTCATTCCTCTATCATCCTCCTTACATGTGCTGCCACAGGGTACATATCCTCTGTCGTCAACCTCACTGCCACATAGTGAACACATTAACCATGCATACTGAGTGCCGCTCTCACCTTTAATATCTGGAGTTTTCTGCTGTCTCTCGTTTTCCTTGTGTAGATGTCGTGGACATATACCGGCGTGCTGAGGTTGGTGCCGTGTGCTGCTGTGCTGGTACTGGGCCAACTATGACGTACTTCAACGCCAGTAGCCTGCATTGGAATTTTGCTACACTGCTATTACTAGTGTCCTAGTTCATGACTCTTATGCTGGCTCAAGTACTGTACATTGTTGTTGTTGACTTTTATTTTACTTCACCAATTGCACGGGTGTATAATTATTAAACTGGGCAATGGGTTTAGAGTATCTTTGAACGGCAATGGCACCTGTTCTTTGAGTTCTCATTTCACTTCAGTGTGCTCGGATGCTGTGCTTCTCGTGGCAGAACACTTTCTGGGTGATTGACTTCAACCCGTTCTCTCCAACCACCGACAGTCTGCTCTTCACCTGGGATGAGCTGGCCAGGTTGAAACCTTGCGATGACGACGACGACAACGACGATGACAGTTCCAGCGAGCTTGTGAATCCAGGTATGCTGTAGCAGAAGTCTACAATGTACGACCTCCATCGTAGCGTTCTGTCCAAGCAAGACTATGAACCATATTCTCACTTGAAGAGCAAATGTTACCTTTTTGTTGCTTGGGCACTATGCATGAGCGGCAGATTTGATTTGTGGCCGGTTTGAGGGATAAAGAGCACTGGTTCCACAACAACGAATATGGTAACCTGGAGATGTAGATGTGGCTACTCCAGTACTTTAATTGATCTGCAACAAGCTGCTTTTAATACTGCAGAATACTGGATTCGTTTACACAGTTCTGAGGATATGGCCAAGGACTCAAGGAGCAGCCTTGACCGGAAGAGAGCCCTCCTGGCATGTTCATCAGTTACTCTTGCCTGTGTGTAATGCCATTTGACCTCATTTGTAAAAAAAAGTTTTACATCTCTTGCACTTCCGGCGTTTTCTCTTGTTCTCTGATAGATGATGAGCCACCAGCCGCTGCTGAAGCAGCACCCACAGCCAGCAGCTCTTCAGTACGTTTTTACCAGTTACTACTTTCTAGTGTGGCCAGTGTTTCTATTTGGCGATCTACACTCTTTCTTCATGTAGTCTATGTACAGTGTACTACTTGCACAAGTACATGTACATGTACTTGTATCTATGTACTACATGTAGTGGCTGTCATACTGTGTTTTATTATATTGGTGTGGCTGGCTGGAAGGGCTACACTGTCCTCAGCAGCTGTTTATGTCTTGAGTTTTGAACCCCCAGCAGTTGGGAATGGAACTCGGGGCTTGGTATGTGAACCGATCACCGTGTCCTAAACAAGCACTGTTCACCTCCCCGCTGCTCTTTCGTGTCCAGCCATTTGAGTTCCGCATCAACTCAAGCCAGGGGCTCCAGCCATCACCCTTCCTGAGTAATCGTCTTCCAAAGGTAAACCTTTGTAGCATCCACCATGTGCGAATATCTGTACAAGTGATAGTATTAAGACTGAGAACCAAACGTTGTGTACTTGTGCCTTAGACTGTCCGTTTATACGGCGATAATAACTATCCACGAGCATCGTAAAGCTGCTCTCTTCTGCTGGCGTCACAGCATGTTGCAGAGTGTTTTAACAGATGCTAATTCTGATGCCCCTCGTCCATTGCGTTCTCGTAGGATATCATTGACCTCTCAAGTGGGGAGGACATCAACAAGTTTGTGGATCTCTTCGAGACGGTAGGTAGGCGCAATGTATTCGTGCAGCTTACAAGTAAAACAATTTATGTCGATGGTCTTTGACATCTCTCTCTTATCGGCATCTATCTATCCTGCTGGTTGATGGTCGTTCACGCATGCACAGATACTGTCAGATAGACGGGCAGAAAGACAGATACACACACACACACGCGCGCACGTGCACACGTGCACACACACACACAATTTAAGTTTGCTATTCTGTCATATTTCAGTAGTCATTTGGCCAAATCACCTATCACTGCTTGCACTATTCACTGTATCTCCTTTTAGCTGCTACAATCCTGCTTGGTGACAGTGACATTCAACGCATAACCTTGTGAATGTACGACCAGTGTCGCTACATTCTAATGCATGCCTCGCCCTAGAAGAATCTAGCATCCCTTCATCAGGTCTGACCTTCACTCTGACCAGTAGGAGTGAGCTTGTGCAGCCTGAGAGAGCATTTGTAGTCGTCCCACTCACATCCACACACTCACGCTCTTATCGTAGACGATACCGGTGGTTTTGCATACCCACACTATGTTCTTTCGAAATTAAACAGCTGCTTCACATGATGTGTTCTTGTTTTCCCGTGTTGTCTTGGATCAGAGTAACCTTGGAGGATCGCACGGCGAAGGCTGAAAGGAACGGACAGATTTTCTTGTCCACTGCCTTCTCAGTAGGGACGGCCCCAAGTACACAGAGTCGACGTGTTAGCGGACTTAAATAGCTAGCGGCCACTGAAGTATTGACAAGATTAATTACAGGAGGCTCTTGACAAGCCAACAAGTGGAGTTAAATAACTTGACTGGCGTAGCCAACAGTGGCTGAGTTCTAACAGGCATGGTTGCAGAGTCTCTGCGCTCTTGACAGTCCAGCATGAAGTGAGCTTGCATACCGTTGTTAGTCTTCTTCGGCACTGCGTTTACAAGAACATTTAGTGCATCCGATTGGAAATGGCTCATTCTGTATCAGACAATCACAAGATTGTGCTAGCCTGACAATACATGGCCTGCTGTAAGTTTGAATCACAGCAGATGTCCACACTTGCATATAACATCACTACAAAACTCTCCCAGTTGACACTGGATTGTGCTACACACAGTATTCTCAGCATGAAATACCACACTGGAAAAAGTGTTAGGATTCTCTCAAATGGAAAGAAACATAAAAAATGATTTGTTATGCTCAAGTTTTTAAAAAATCGTCATTATTTTCATTTTCATTCATGTTTTTTAAGAGAATATTTTCCAAAAATGACTCATGCTCTACCTAATGATGTCCAGTGTGTATGTATATGTGTGCAGATAGCATGGAGGAGTGTTCTATTCTGTGACTGAGTTGATAGATTTCTAATGAAAAAAACAACATCTACTAGTTGTCTACATCCAATAAGGCAGTGAAAAAATCAGGGTTGTTGAGAAAAGATTTGGGTGTGGAAATAGTTTTAACAGGGAAAGAAATTTCAGAGAGGTCACCGTGCGTTCCAAGAATCAAACTTCAGCGGCAGACTGCAGTCGAGTACAGAATAGTAGGACTGCAGATGTGAATATGTCGAAGCCGCCGTGGTTCTAAGAGGGCGGGGGACGTGCACCGGGGGGATAGCCCCACGTCAGGCCCGCGTTCCGTCCTGCCTCCATGATCTTCTGCAGGACTTCATGCCGGTTGAGGATGGCACCGAATATTAGCGGCTGCGCAAACCACAGACAGATACATACATGGGGTATATTATATTAATCGTGAGGCTTTACCCAAACTATTATGCAAAGCATTAACTATTAGGCTACACGGTGGAAATCGAGTGAAAATGCTTACCTTGGAAAGGCCTTGCACCTGAACTTCAATGGCCATGCCGTGGCCAGGTAAACGCTGAAATGCCTTGGCCTGAAGGCACACCCAACAACACATCAGGAGAGTAGTTACATGCAGCAAGAGAGACCAAACGCTATTGGAAATGTTTGAGGGTGCTGCAGCCTTGCATACCGCACATATGCGCCAAACTACTCCACGCAGCTACAGGAGCTTCAACAGTGCGTGTACAGCGTAGTCCCAGCAATTCAGACCACACCCAGAGCACTGCAGACCAAAGTAACACAGGACCGGCGGAAGCAATATTTGATTACCATAGCCTTTCATACTTTGTGTATGATATGGCGGGTTGGGCATGGCCTCCTCAGCAGTAAACACAGTCATGTTCGTGGCCAAATAGTTGGTCCGGCCATGAACCGGACCGGTTCCGCCGGGCCTGTAACAGAGATGTTCCTGCGCAATACCGAGCCAATCTCCAGTCTTGTACAGAATGGCCTGGTACATGTAGCACTACTGCCACACCGCTCAAAACACCTGGGTGCATTTAGACTTGTGTGCAACATTACACACCCGGTCGAGCAAGTCTCCAAATTCCAAACAACAGCTCCCGCTGGCGACAGAACAACGGTACAGACCTTTTTGACATCGACGATATCCGTCAGTGAATGCTTTACATCCGCATCAGTGTGGTCCTTCTTGAGGCGAAACGTACGCTCAAAGCACAGGAATCTGTACAGAGAAACAGCACCAGGTGTCCAATAGCAAGACAATAAAGTGATTAGATAGTGTAGCTGCATGGCTAACGGACAGTAGATTAGTCTGCAGGGCCAGCTATAAGAATAAGGCAGTTGCAGAGCACCCAGTAAGTGATGTGTATTGCCAGTACAAAGACAGTAGCGGTAGGTATCCGGCTGAAACCGGCTGTAATGATGTCCCCCGGTAGACCCCAGTTACTACACTCGGGGTACAGTGGAACCTGGGTATTCCGACCACCACCGTTAGCACCGGGCAAAGTGATCTGATTTGTGAAAATGACCACCCTGTATGCGCTTATGGCGGAAAATTCGGGACTGATAAAAAGTGGTCAGATTGATGAGGTGATCGTAAAGCGAGGTTCCAGCATGTTTGATCAGTGTTGTGAATGTTTATGTCAGATGCATGCCCGATGGTGTGAACAGAGATGGGCCAGGCCAGATCTTCCCACTGCAGTTCAATGTCAATGACACGCCACAGCAAACGGGCCACTCACCCACATAGTGCACTGCTGAACACCCGCATGCCAGCACCAGCCGCAACAGCAGCATAAGCAGCAGCAACAACAGCAACAATAGTGGCAGCAACAGCAGCAGCATAAGCAGCAGCAGCACTGCATAGTACATAGTGCAATACACAGTGCAATACACCCATACCTCGGTGTGATATAGAGCTTGCCAGGCATGGCAAAGGACGTCAGCGGCCGCTCCTTGTCAATCAATCGACAGTGACAGCCAGACTTCCAGTCTATAGCAGAGGAAGAAACAACACAGTCACCAGACAGTCAGTACGGAGACAAATCTGGCATGATCAAATGGAAAGTCAGAGTGGCCCGAAAGAGCCACACTCTTTAAAAAGCAGTGACCGCTACACACAATATTGCCACTTTGAAACTGCTCTTGGTTTGTAGACTGGACACTGAGTGCTACAGTATTAACCCCATGATATGTTCTTACATTCGCTAGGAGCCTGGTCCAAGGACAGACTGAAGCGCTCACAAAACTGTTGGTCAGCAGCGGTGACAACACCGGATAGATCACCACCATCTTGTTCGTCAGACACACCAGACTGGACAACAACAAAAGAGACAGACAGACAGAGAACAGGTAGCACATACACGATGACATGTTTGCAAGCAAGAACAATTACGCCACATTCCACAAGGGCATATTGCAGCACATCTGATGATGACGCCTTATCTGATGATTGCTTCGGCATGAAACTTGAAGTTACAACATTTTTCTTCTTGGATCCTCTCTCTCTTCCATAGTCGTTATGGCTTGCAATACGTCATGCACAATCATGTATAGTACTTGTAATACGATGCCTCCATTATTTGCAGTCTTTTCTCTCGCCTCTCGGTCATGCTTTCTTGGAGGTACCGGATACACTGATGTTTTGCTGTACCTGCAACACTCCAGATTGATTTCCCCAGTCACCAGTACACAGCAGGCCCATAAGAGTTGAATGCACCCCTACTGGCCCTAGCCAGTGACACCACCATGTACCAGCTCATTCTCCTCACAGAGCGGCTCATGATACACGTCATGTACTCAAGGACAGGCATGACTAGATCACCATCAGCTAGCATACCTGACTAGAGCGTTGTCTATGAGCACGCAGAGCTGTGAACGCCTCCAGCTGAGAGTTGGTCGGAAGCTGCTCCCAGATCTTTGACACGGTATCATACTTTGCCTTGACTTTCGGGAATCGTCGATATACACTTCTTTCCACGAAGAATTTGTAGCCAAAGAACAGCCCTGATACAAGAGGCAGAACACAGGCAGGACTTGGCTTGTGATGATAAAATTAAATTTTATGACTTGGTAGTTGTTACCAGTTACAGGTATAACACCCCCCCCCCCCCTTCCTTCCTTCCTTCCTTCCTTCCTTCCTTCTTCCACTGCCATGACTGGCTATGTGGCCCCATACGGGGCAGACCAGGAGACGTGTTGTACACCGGGCGGGGAACGCCATACTCAGCGCGCGCGGGCCGCGCGAACAGCGTTACACTTGTGCCTCGCAATATCCTGTGGCCGACGAAAACTGCGCGCACAAGCGCCCCAGATGAGGGGCTTCGCCACAGGCTCCATGCGGGACTGGACAATAGCGTCGACAGCGTCACGGCAGGTGACCCGCCATCCCTGTCGATCTTGGACGATGTCACCAAGCTGCTCCAGAGGAACGCCAACAACCATCAAGTCGCACTTCGCGAAGTCCTTCCAACGCTTACGGGGTCCATGCGGTGGACGTTTGGAGGGTAACGCGCAGTACAGCAGCTGACGAGGGATCTGATCTTGCATGCGGGACACGTGGCCAAGCCATCGAAGTCGGCAGACTCTGACTTTATCCGCGATCTCCTCCATATCGCCCCACATCCTGCGAACCTGTAGAGAGGAGGTGTGCTCCTCGATCTGCCGGCCACGATTTATCTTCAGGATGGAGCGCACGCACTGCAGGTGAAAGGACTCCAGGCGACGGACATCACGCTGCCTGACGGTCCAACTCTCAGATCCATAAAGAAGGACCGCTAGGACAGTCACTCCATACACAATGCGCTTGATGGCGATGCTGAAGTCATCACTGTCGAAAACCGACTCCCGCAGCGTACAGAACGCACCCGATGCAGCAGCAACTCGCCGAGACACATCATACGAGCTCCGGGCGTAACATGACACCCCTGTGATGTACATGTATCATCAGAGTACACTGTCAGTAGAATCCTCAAGTACTATGCAGCTGTGTCATCTTCATAAGTTAGTAACGTACCCATAGGGATCCTGCGCCATGAATACACCTTTCAGTACGCCATACTACAGGTACAACCAGCTCTGAGCTGTACATGTAGCAATGGTCACTAGACCCCCTGTCTAGTGATGTCTACAGTACAGTAAATGTACTACTACCGACCGGGACTGGTCACCAGTGTACTGCACATGTGCATGTACTCACCCGCAATCCTGAACACGACAGCCTCAGGCAATACACAGGAGATGAGGAAAAACGTCCACAGCGCTATGTAGAGTTTCTTGGTGGCTTCCGGATGATGCCAGGCCAGCAAGCTACGAAGAGACAGATCATGCAATGACAGAATTACACGGAATTGCATGTTATGCAGGTGGAAAGGTGCACCCAGCAACCTTGAACAGGAGGTGAGTGTAGCAAAGAACGACAGTGATCCCCAAACACAGGAACAACAAACTGGGCATAACAGAACAGAATTAACACTGCACCATTGCCTTGTTAAACACATGTATGTTCGCGCACACACACACACACACACACACACACACACACACACACACACACACACACACACACACACACACACACACACACACACACACACACACACACACACACACACACACACTCAGACTCAGACATGCCCATCGCCGAAGCGATGATAGCGAACAGCCATGTTAGACATAACAACTTGTGCTGGGATTACACCATTCAACAGCTTGCAAGGCTGATGAATTGACCGCCACTAATTTTAGCCTGGTATCCACCACACAGCTGATTGAAGTGACTTTTTCTGGCCAGTGAATCCCTATTAATTTTTCATTTTTCCATTTTTTCAATCTTTTTTTTCTCTTTTTTTTCTTTCGACACGCACACCACGCCACATACTCCGGCATACACTGGCTGTTGGTAACCACCCAGGAGAGTGAAAGAAGAGCTAGGAGAATGAGAAAGAGAAGAAAGCACACACACACACACACACACACACACACACACACACACACACACACACACACACACACACACACACGCACGCACACACACACGCACACACACACACACAAGCTCGCACACGCAGGCATGCATGTGTGCACGCACACACACACACATTTGCGAAGAAGCACGCAAACTCAGCCAGGTGATACCCAAACTTGGTTGTGCAGCAACAATGCCCAAACATGTACATGCAGCATAGATACACAGCAACAAGACAGCAATAATATTATGTCCCGCCACACAAGCACAGCACATGGTTACAACTAACATAGAACTAACATAGAACTGCTCAGGCGTCTAGATTCGGTACCGGTAATAATATCTTACTTGTAAAATTTCTCTAGTGAATCACCAATGTTACCACTTGTGTTCTGAAAGGGAACAGCAGCAAACAAACATAATGTGTTGTTCTCAATCTGCGGACAGAACTGTTTCGTCCTTTGTGGACTCACCAGAGCAGCACAGAGAAAATGGGGCCAAACCGGGTAGCAATGAAAAATAAATTTTCCAAAGCCGGATTTAAACCAGGCCCGAACGTTCTCAGTTGGTGCTGGGATGGTCGTGCCACGCACGCACGCACACACACACACATGCGCAGCCCAAACATAGCGTTTCAGAAAGAAAACCCTACGCTAGTGAACAACATGGCTTTGCACAAGAGCTGAGAGAAGGCTAAACAATACCCTGCCAATGTCTTCCATACATGGACATGCAAAAGTCATGACAACATGGGTAGTACCTGCACTTTCTGAGCAACTTGAGTGACCAGCTGCCAGTAGCTACGTGAACTGCTACCACTACCACTGCCACCATCTTCGCTCTAGGAGAAAAACAAAAAAAATCGTAGAAATTGCATGTTTTGATCACGGACTAACAAAGACCACCATGCGTCCATCGCAGACCGTAGCAAACAATACAAATTTGTATCCGGGGTTAGTTTCTTGCAAGAAAGCGCCACATAGACCATTCCCCATTGAGCCCATGTCTTTCATCATGCAGTCAATATCAATATCGGCGAGTGCATACGGGTTTGCTTATGCACATGTAGACACACGCATGCACGCACGTGTGGTACACATGCCTCCACCCACACATGTGACACACACATGGTCACACACACACACACACACACACACACACACACACACCCCTTCCTTCCTTCCTTCTTCCACTGCCATGGCTGGCTATGTGGCCCCATAAGGGACAGACCAAGAGACGTGCACACACACACACACACACACACACACACACACACACACACACACACACACACACACACACACACACACACACACACACACTTGTACTTGTTGCTCACTGCCAAAACTGGTCACGTGGGTCTCCCCGGGAGAGGGGAGAGAGACTCAAAAGGAATCTTGGAAAGATGTCTCAATTGGCTATAGAACCACCCAACGGCCGACACCCCCTGAAATCCCCAAAACTCTGGGTGGACTTGAGAAAATGATCCCACTTATGGGCTCACCACACCTTAGTAAGTGGGTGAGGACAAGGTGGAGAAAAAGGACACACACACACACACGTACACACAAGAGCGGCTGCTATTTCTGTTCTGGATCAGCACTGCAACACCCACTTACCTCTGAACTACCGTTCGTTGCATTAGCTGGCGCGAATCGCAGCAGAATTCCCCTATGGGCAAGATGCAGAAAACACAGAACACACAAAGACATGTGTAGGATTCCCTTTCCTAATAGGAATACAAGACTATTCCCTGGTTTCAGACACTCACACTGTTCATATCGATAGTAAAACTAATGTTACTTGTCATAGAGGAGAAGAGAGAAAAGGCAAGAAACACTCCAGTCTCTCCGGAGGCGTGGGTTCGAATCCCACCGCCGCCACCAATGTAGGATTCCCTTTCCTATTAAATAGGAACACAAGACTATTCCCTGGTTTCAGACACTCACACTGTTCATATCGATAGTAAAACCAAGAGTACATAACCCCCCCCCCCCCCTCTCTTGGTAAAACTAATGTTACTTGTCATGGAGGAGAAGAGAGACAAGGCAAGAAACACGTGGGCATGCGCGCGGCTTACAAGGCCAGAGATTCGTCACGTGGACAGGAGCAGGAAATACGAAATACAAATGTAAGAACAAATGTAAGAAATAATAAGTAATCATTGGCCTATACTACACATGCATGTTCAACTGGAGACTTGGAAGCTATAAGCAAAGTAAGAGACAAACGACGATCAAAGCTCAAAATATGCCAGCGGAACCTAAATAAATTGACATGAACATACAGCCTGCAGGTTGTTGGCCGGGAAGAGGAAAGGCAAACAACAGAGGTAGTTGCATCTGAAAAAGGACTCCTAAATCAAAAAGTTCCACATGGTTGATACAGCTGGCCAACATCTGGAAAGACAACAATGTCTCTGGACAGCTCAAGATTTGTTTAACGCATGCACTTGCATTGCTGTGCGGAGCTGAGAGCAGGAAATGTAGGCGAGAAGTGGATACAGCCAGCGGAGATATAGGGCCTACTGGCACTGACTTGCATAGTGCATGACTGTAATGAAAACCTGTGGGAAGAGATGGGAGTGCAGCAGCAGCTGTCGGCCAGGTTTAAGTTGAGCAAACCGTTGTATTTCGGTCACACATGCTGTCCACCTGCGCGTGTGCTTGTTGCCGAGGTTCTGCTCAGTGCAGTGGAAGGAAAAGGAAGTGCGGCCATGCCAAGATCCTCTAGAACAGGTGGTTGCCTTACCAAACTGCCATTGCATCTTTCCATGCTAGGTTTTACTGTGGTACCGCATCAATACCTACATGTATCCGCCAGTGAATGAACTGCAGCCCGAGCAGCACACTTACGTTGTTTTCAGGTAGCTGAAAGACAGCCAGCAGATGGCAACGAATAGAATGCTGGGCACCAGCAAGCCAAGCCACACCGTGTACATGTACAGCTAGGTAAATCAACACAACACAACACAATACAACACGTACATGTACACACACGTACACATGCGTGCACACGTATATGTACACACATGCACACACATGCACACACACACACACACACACGCATACATACCACACACACATGTACATATACGATACAGACACATCAATCATACACAGGTACAAATGTTCGAACAGGGCTAATAGAAGTACTTTGAACACTCCCAGTCTCCTGTTGTGAAGTCAACGAAATAAATTCCCAACAAAAGATGAAAATTCGACTTTTCTCAGGAAAGCCTCTTCTACCGAAAATTTGTACACCAGTATTTCTCTGATGCTAAATCATTACATGCATGCTTACACATAAATAAACACAAACACTCACACAAGGACAATGTGGTATTGTAGCACAATCATAGTCTTCACAGCAACCTGGTATCGTACATGCAATATGTAGCAGAGACTCACTGCCATGAGTATACTTCATGTCATCAACAACAGAACAACAGGCGACCCTGATGATCATGTGGGAAGGATTATGAACAGTGGTTCCGGAGCTTACCAGGAAGCAGGCAAGAGATGTTGTCCAGTTGTCCCAGTGCAAGATACTGTTGATGGATTTGAAGAATCCCACAATAGGTTTCGTGTCATCCCCTATCAGGATTGCAAAGGCATGGGGGCACGTGTACACACACACACACACACACACACACACACACACGCACGCGCGCACACACACACACACACACAGATGCACGCACACACATGTACATACACACATACAAACATAAAGCAAAGAAATAACCCGAGTACTCGGCTCCCTCCTCTGCAAGCACAACACGCACAGTAAGACCCAGCACCATGAGAATTCAGTCAGCATATTAACCTTCTTGTGTGTGTAAGTGAAGATCTACAATGCTGAATATTCTCTCACACACACACAACATCTGTATTTGATGTCTAAATAAACAACTTACAAAATCGTTTCCAGTTCCCCTTTAGCCTACAAGTGACATACACACATAAAGCAGAGTGCAAATATAGAATAGAAAACAGAAATTTATTGGGTAAGCCAGAGGCAACCAACCAGTAGAAGATAAAGACGTTTTTTCCCGACAGTGCACACGGAAAACCATCAAGTAGAAAAACGAACTTCTTCAGCCAGTTCGGAAACATTGGCAAGAAACCTCCCTTTCTCGTTTCGCATACTATCAAGAATAGATTGAAGTCGGAGATACACAGGCCTGCATGATTACGGGTATACAGCCATGTATGTACTGGTGGATACCTGGAAACAGGTTGGCATCCTGTCTGAGTAGATTACTGCCCAGGTGGTACATTGTGTTGCCATTAGCAATGGATTAGGACAACCCCCAAAACTGAGATATGGCTGCCTTTCCAAACAGAATCGACGTAGAGAAACTGCAAGGAAATGTCCATGTGAGCAGGCATTGGCAACAGCATATAAAAAAAAGTACCTGTTGAAGGACAACTCCTCAGGTTCCGCTTCACTTTCTTCGTTGTCACCGTCCACTGTGAAGTCAGCTAGGACTACGCATACCTACAATGTACACACACACACACACCACATACACACAAAGACACAAGCACACAAGCACACACACGTGAGCAGCCACCCATATAGCATCAAGCACATGAGTTAGATCACTAAAAAATACGGCATGAATGCAAATGGGCAAAGAGGTTAATCCTGCATGAAGATGAAACAACATTGGTTATGAGGTGCGAAAATCTGGACATAGGGCATGATGGCAATACTGAAATGTTAGCAGGCGAATACAGCGACAGAAGTAGCAACAATGGCCGCAAAAATTGCTAATAATGGTGCCAGCGATGCCTGTACTAGCTAATATCTTTTTTAAACAGCAACTTCACACGTATTTTCATTACATTTTCAAACATTGCATTCATTGTGTTATTTCCCCGTACAAGAGGCTTTGTCAGATACTGTAACTTCACACTTCCTGTCTATTACCTACAATAACATACCTTGGATATCACATAGTTCTTGAAGCGTTCCAAAGGCTTGCTGTCTGAGTCCTCGCCAGTCTCTGGGATCACCTCTCCTGTACTGCTACTACCGTCTGCAAAGCGGAGCGTGATAAACATTGCGAGGCAAAATTCACTTGGTGTGGTGATGTGAATTTTCCCCTCAGCACTGACACCTACCTGCATGGGAAACCCAATGTGCCTGACACATGACATGATGATAATGCATGAATGCGAGAATCGCAGTGCGCTGCTTTTCAACTCAACGCGCCGGTCCTCACACCACAGCTTTCGCTAGCATCATAATCATAATCATGGCCACTTTTAGCCACTTCTGCCACCACACTGGTGCCACATTTAGCACAACGTTGCAGAACTACCTGGCAACGTCATGGATTTCTCATAGATGGTTACACATAGCGCTTTCTTGCTCATGCGCAACACATTCCGCACATTCAAAAGCCGCATTCAGTGGCGAGGGGAGGTGCAGAGTAATGTCCAAGTTGATGGTCTGTTTGTCTTCAAGTTGAATCATAGCACACAGCAGGGGCGTCAGACACGCTACGGTCACTACGGTATTGACCGTACCACTCTTTGCCTCAGGTACCCAGTGAATCAATAAAATACATTGATTTGGGCTCTAAATTTGGAATTTTTTTATGAGGAGCCACCCCAACCCCGGGAGTAAATTGTACTTCAGGTGGCTGATCGTAACACCGTAAAATACCTTCTGATGCACCTGCACAGGTTAGTACGAACTTTCAGTGCAAAAAACCTTGCATTGCATCTTCACAGTTCAGTTATCACCGAGTTGATCTACAAATGGGTTGTACATGTAGATTCAAGAGATTCGACATCATGTCTGGATATAAAGCAGTGGCTGTGCAGCTGAGATGCATACTAATTGCCTTCGTTCTCACATCACCTTACCAGCAGATGGTAGCTGCATGCGGCGTTGTCGAACTCCAGCGGCGGACGAGGAAGGTGGTGGCAGCGACGGCATCGTTTGACCGTGTTCGTTGACCGGCACCCAAGATGTGTCCACGTCGCTGGCATCAGAAGAGCTACCACTGCAGGACAAGCACACCGGGGAACACATCAACTCAGTGCACGCGTGGCAAAGGTATGGTGCAGTAGTTTTCGTTTCTTCGTTGTCTTGTGCTGCCTATGGCTGCATGTTGTCGCTGTGATGTAGGTAGGTGTTCACAGCACCGCAACGATAAGCAAGAGTAATACTTATGATAGAAACGGCAAGTGCATACGTGCATAACGGGCATAAGTGACATCCTACCTAGAACAAAATCGCTGGTCACATGGATAACATTACTGGTAGTAGGATAGTCGTCCCACTGGACTGTTCCTGTTTCAGGTGACACACTACCGCAGGATTCTCAACTCTCCCACAAGGGTCATGGCCATCTCTATGATGACAAGAGGATCAAATACAGGCTGTGCATTATAGCCTATGAGCACACGTGTGTGTGTGTGTGTGTGTGTGTATGTGTGTGTGTGTGTGTGTGTGTGTGTGTGTGTGTGTGTGTGTGTGTGTATGTGCATGCATCACCGCTTCAAGTGTTCTGGAACCATGCCGAGCATGAACGCTTCACGGACAGTGACTTACGCTCCGCCAAGACGCTCGGAGCGTTGCTGCAGGTCTTCCACCTGCAACGACAGCTCCAGTGAGCGCTGCCGTTCCTCTTCCAACTGACGTGCCCACATCCCAGCCTCCATGGACTGCAGTGCGCGCAGCTCATCACCTTAGTGAGCAAAGAATAGACAGAAGGCAGGGCCAAAGTTTGTTACTAACTTAATACCTGTTAAATAATACACAGGAGGATTTAAGAAAGAACTGTCAGCAGTGATAGTACTTCATCAGTCACAGTCATTTAACCCAACAGACAGATCTATTCTACTGACGTAACTGCATCAAACCTACCGCGTGTAGTTACATTGTCTGTTTACATTTGTGAACGTGACTAAGGTGCACTCTCAGTCTGTATCTGACAGTGGATAGGCAGCCTTGCGCTGACCATCTAAACTCAAGTGCGTTCGGAAGGTTGCTGATTCACCATCCCAAGCAGCCAGCAGCATGCAGATCACCAGTGCCAACATGGTTCATCATGTATGGTGTGAGTGCGTTTCTGTTATAAAAAAACTTATTCTCCTGCACATTAACTCGACGCAATTTGATTTAGTCCAAGCATCCCACCATATGCTCTCAGGCCGACCTCATTCACAGCACCAGCAACACGACTCTCAAGTCAGTGATGAGTCCACCGATGACGAACAAGCCGAAAACTGCAGCTTGCCCTTCCGACAATCAACAAAACTTCACCTTGCAATACTAGTACAGGGAATAATTTACTTTCAATCGTTTGCATAGCACTTTTGCTACACAAAATCAAACTTCAATAGCAATTCGAAAATGTTGCATAGCAATTTTCTTCAACACTTGACAACATTGTCATTCTGGAGAGCTGATCAGAGTGTAAGCTCAGACCACAAGTACACTGTAACACCTTAGTTGCAAACCTAACCTGGTGCCAGGATGCATAGCTCAGTGCTTTCGAATCTTCGTGCATCTATTTCATCCCTAAGAGGCACACCTGGCATCTACACTGTGCATCATAGGGTACAGTGAAAAATCAGAATGCATCGCAGTTTTCTGCAACACATATCTGAAGTTGCTTTGCACCTCAGAAGAATTGCAAGTTTTTCATGGACACCTAGTAGAGTGGGCCCATGTTTAGCCATGCTGTATAGAATACCAGTCATGGGCTCCGTTGCTGCACTATCGTATTTTCTGCCATATATTACCGTATATGCCATGATTAAAATAGAAGAAATCACATGGAAACGAGTTATGAAGCAACTATCCACGACCGTAACAAGATAATAAGCAGTCAGAAAGTGCGATAGCAGGGGGGTCGTTGAATGTCACAGTAACATGTCAGTTTTGTGCCCTGTTATCGCACTTTCTGACTGCTTATATCTTGTTACAGTCGTGGATACAAGTAGTTGCTTCATAACTCGTTTCCATGTGATTTCTTCCACTTTAATTATATTAAATTTCACTGGCTCAGTATCTGAGTATATGCCATGCTTTTTAATTTCTGGAATATCCACAAGCAATCGGCCCGGCCTTCCACCTTTTACGACGGACACATATTTTTTATACAAACAAATGCCAAATTGAGTGTAATGCGTGCCGTGGAACTTGGGGAGGGAGGGGTACACACTGCATGTACTGTGAACCGGGATACGTTGCTGTGTTGTGCTTTAGTTTGCGATTTGCGAGCCCAGACAAATTTGCACCTGGATGTGTCCGTGGTTGGAGTCAATTTCCTCGGTTTCTTTACTACAGTTCTACATGTGTGCCCGCTTGCTTTTGCGATCTCGCACCCATCGCGAAAACCATGAAGGAATTCCGGGTCGCAACGGTTTCCGGGTGGTTTACGGTACTGGGAGTACCACTGGCACTGGTGTGTGGCACATAGTATTACAGGTATACTAGTACCTTGGAAATAAATTTAATATAAAACTTTTTAAAAAAAGGTGTTTTTATACTAAATTGTTGGTATATACTAGTGGTGACCGTCTATACGTCTAATAATTGGTGATGTTATGTGGCACGTGTTCCCCCAATTAGTTCCACGTGTCACCAAACTGTCACAAACTATTTTTAAATTTTTCAAAAGAAAACGAAATTCAGCTTACTGAGTTTCTCTTTCTCGATCATGACACTCTCGAGCTGGTCCTGAAGTTGCTCCAACTGCTGCTCGTAAATCATTTTCTCGGCTTCGTCCCAGGCAGCACGACTGTTGGACGACATGGTCTTCGCCAGCAGCTGGGGGCTTTCGCCACCACCCGCTGCTTGGCCCCTTCCACTCATTGAACTGGACGAGGACTTTCTACTCAAATCAGGAGTTCCAGAGTTGCTGGTACCTGTGCCACTTCGACCACGCGGGGTAGGTGAGTCCGCAAAATCGAACTGGTCGTCGTCATCTTCGTCAGCGTCACGGCCGTGATGGCGGTGGCTGAGCCTGGCCTTTTTCAAGCGTTCTTTTATCGCTGCCATTGGCTGCGCTTGCAGCTATGGTCGTGTGGAGGATGCTGCAGCAGTAGCGTATGCTGACCAGGGTCGAGGGCTACAACGGAGGTATGGAAGGAGCTGGACGACGTCGCTGGAAACTACCAACCTGCTCGAGCGACTACATTATCGCTGTTACTCTTCCTGCAACCTTCGGCTTCGTAACTAATTACTTCACTTACTTTTAATTTTCCGCGAAATGAAAATCAACACGGGGTCCAGTCTGGTATGAGCTTCGTAGACGTAGTACTACATGCAGTACTACAACAACACTGTAGCTCCTGGTGTCTGGCGCATGGCCCCGGCCGTGTCACTACTGACTGGCTGACACGCTCGAGGAATGGGCAATGGTGGTGGGTCACAGCAGTGAGCAGAACTAGCACGCACGGAAAAGACCTGGCTGCATATCGCATGCAGTGATGTCCTGCTTTTCCTGCACGCGGTGCAGCAGCGCTGGTCCGGCCGGGCCGTACCGTGTGCATGTGGCAAACGACGGTCGATGGACAAAAATACATGACCGTGATTGTGCTCAAAAGAGTTAAAACCTGCATTTTGTAAACAGTAGATCTACATACACCACAGGCTACAGCAGATCTCCGTAGCTACGTAGATCTGCTCGCAGGAGAGCTCAGATCGGGTGCGTGCCACAGACTAATGTTAGTGTGTATCTACGAGTCGTAGATCTACGATCGATCGATCGATCATGTGCGCGTGCCGGTGTCGCTATGTCGGTATGCTTTTGTTTTGCAGATCGGCGGGAGATTTGAGCACGCATAGCATGCATAGCCTTTCGCCAAAGACTCGACAGTCGACAGTGTTTGAAAATGTTGAAATCATACAAACTACTGTAGTTGATTGATTGTTATCATGTTCACAATTAAATTTTCAGGGAACATGTTTGCGATCGTTGGCCTGTATTGGCTGTAGCGATCGTTGGCGGTGATGCGAACACGCTTGTATGAATTTTCGGACATGTCGAGAGGAAAGTGATCGCCAGCGGTGGCGACGTTGGCAGGAGAGCTTGAGATCAGGACAGGAGAGTGCTGCTATCAGGACAGAGTACGACTAGTAGTAACCACCATGGACGACGAGGGAGCGAGTATAGCAACAAGCAACGATGAGAGGATGGATGAGCTGCTTTCCGCTAGCCAGAGCCTGGGCCAGGGGCTGCAGCGTATCAACCCAGACACACTTAGCAAAGCAGAGCTGAAAGTTCAACTGGCAGAATGCATGGTTAGCCAACAATAGATGCATGTTTGGAACTTGCACGTCACAAGTTGTGTCCTAAATCAGAACTGTCACCATCAAACATGTGCCATCACCCTGGATCTGAAGTTCAACTTGAAGGCTCCAACTAATACTAATACTTACGCGCCCTGAAGCATCCCAATGCACTCCGGGGAAGCACCGCAAATGGACACGTTTACAACCTTTACGAATAACCCTGCAGGTTTGACTAACCCGATCATCACTGAGGCATGCTGACTCTCTTCTGCCTATCTTGTTTAGGCAGATAAAGAATTTGTGTGGACGCTGTGGAGGGAGCTGCAATCCTCAGCACCGGATAAGACAAAACTGGCTGGACTGATTGTCACTCGGTATGCACTGCTTGTGTGAAATGCAGCTTCAAATGCTGAAAGATGCTGCCATATATATATGAGCCATTCGAAAACAGTTAAACAGATTTAAAAAATTCTTAAATTTGAACACTTCGCTGAGCTGCAGCAAACTTGGCCATTTGGGCCAAGCGGTGAAGTGGTGGAGTGTTAAACTTAAAATACTTGAATTGAATTAAAGTTCTTTCAAACGTTCTGTTTCCATCATTGGTAGTTGGTGAGCAACATGTTACATCTGCAGCTGATTTGCGAGTCACCGCAGCATACTTCAGTAGTAGGATCCAGCAAACATTGAATCATCACTGATTAGTTCATCGTTCAATGTGCACTTGAGCATGATGTTCCACAGTGCTTGCTCAGAGTCGTACCCTGAGACTCATTTGTGATTGCTATACCCCATTCTGCCATTCTAGAGAGAAAGAAAAGGCCAACCAACGACTCCAAAAGATGATGGAAGAAGTCGGCCGCCACCGAGAAGAAAGTGCTGACATGGTCCAGGTCGGTACTGATAGGCAATGGGCAAAGGAAAAACTGATTCTCAGTGTTGTATGCATGGAGGGGGGGGGGGGGGAGGGGGGAGTCGTCCCGGGCCACATGAAGCCAGGGATACAAGTGCCGACATCACTGTTTGTTGCATCCGCTGTACCCCCCCCCCCCCCCCCCCCCCCCCCCTGTGCCATGCCAGGAGTTCCAGTCGAATGATTATGGACTACAGCCGTCGGTAGAAGTGAGAACGTTTCTCAGCAAGGATATCACATGCTGTGACGTAGGATGAGCCGCACAGTGGAGACTGCCGCTGGTGTGTACTGCAGCTACAGAGGTAGAATAGCAGTCGCAGTTCCAAACAGCCCCCCTAAGCCTAGCCCTCTATTTCTTGATTAAGGCCGGCATAAGACCATCCCACTGCTAGTGTCTGCCTGCTACCTGAACTATGCCGGGATTGCAGTACGTAGTCTTGAACACGGATGCACGTCACTGCTACTGGTACTACATGTACTTCGAGGTATGACCTACATCCTATGATCACTACAGTCGTCTGTGTCCTTCACCATGCTGTGATTGCAGTCACTTGCTGTTCTCAACCAAGAGGTGGAGGCAGCACATGCTAGGTGAGGCAACTGTGCTGCTCACTAGCTGCCCACTTATCCATCAAAGGACTGAGTGAGACATACACACGGTCTGTTCTAAAAAGAAATGGACCGGCACATAACACTCCTTCTTACACCTTTTCCAGCCTGCCAGTATACCAGGCCTGCCGCTGTGAACGTGTCATCTCCTGTGGCAGCCAGCATATGTTTCGCATGCTCGCTGTGTCCGTAATGCATTGATCAATTCATGCCAGGCTGCCATCAATCCAGACCTGATTGACTCCCCCAAAGGATTGATTAATGATTCTTGCACGACCAGTTGATGAGAGCATCCCCGGCAATGGGATGCTCTCTCGCGGGTACTGTAAGTCTACAAATGTTCAGCCCGTTCCAATTTCCGGGCCTCCCGGGGCTAAAGCACATTTCGGCCGCAATAAATTGTTGGCCTCTACTGCTGCTGCCTGTATACGCTGTCACACTGAACCTTGCAAACAAAATTTCGGCCGCAGCAAATTTTCGGCCAAATATGACCCGGCCGAAAATATATACAGTCAACTTCGCTTATAACGACACTCGGCGGGGCATCAAGAAGGTGTCCTTATCCGCGAAGTGTCGTTATACCCGAAGTCTCATTATATGTATTACAGTGGGATGGGACTTTGCTCTGGGCATGGAAATTCTGTCGTTATTCGCGAATTGTCGTTATATCCGCAGTCGTTATTAGCGAAGTTGACTGTATGCGCCGAATATTTGTTGACTTACAGTAGGCGTTGAGTTTGCTGGTTGAAGAGATGACATTGGACCAGAGAATCTGGACTACATTGAGTACATGTATCTGGCATGTCAATATAGCCGGAGCGAGTCTAAGTAAAGCCATTGCTAGTCAGAACCATGCAACGCACCATGTCACGGCGTGTGTATCGACATGTATCTGACTTGGTACCCGCCGGTACACCGCGTGTGTTCTTCTTACCCAGAGAGGCCGATCTGAAACGAAAGCTGACAATGGCCCATGGACAACTGACCAGCAGGAGCACCCAATCAGCCAATTCCTCTGACATCAGTGCCGAAAAGTTGAAACCACAGCTTGCCGATGCCAAAGAGCACATCAAGGTATGCATCATAGTAACTACTCAAGTTAGTTTTACTGTGTAGTGTGTACATGTGTTTGCAAACCTGTAGTGTAGCAGCATCCCATGCATACGAAACGTGTTCTGATGGTGATACGTCGTGTGCACTGGATCAGCACCCCTCACATCCATACAGTGTATCAGTTGTCAAATGACACAGACCACTATGAAGCACGGGTGTTGTGCCGGGTTACGTATTTCTCAATCTGGATGGAGATCAGCTAAAATGCAGAGTTTGGTGGTGCTATAATTTTTCATACTTCAAGTAAAAAAAGTAAGTTTTAGAGAGGTGGAAACGGGAAACGTCATTTTTACGTTCCTTTCCGAAATACAGTCAGACCTCGCATAACCGCACACATCCGTTTTCCACAAAAATATCCGGATAGGCGAGGGAACCGGATAATCGAACACACATACTGTATGTAAGCATGGCATATGCTGTACATTTGTAACCAACTATTTTCTTCCGGATGGCGAGGGATCCGGATAAACGAGGACCGGATAAGCGAGGTCTGACTGTACCAATGTCGACAATATAATACAACTTACTTGTGTAGATATCACCCGCAGACTCTTGGAAGATACTTCGTACTTTGATTGTCCTATGTTGTATACATATACCGGTAGATGTTGACATCACAGTTGGCACATGCAACGGCGCACTCTGAACTCCTGGCTATGCAGGTAAGCACACCTCAGAGTATGTCATGACCGATGACCGTTGGATTTCGTTCCCCCTAACTTGTCCATTAGTGGCTGGTGGGATCACACTGGTGCAGTCCGAACGACAGCCCACAGCACCAACCGTGATGTTGAATCTAGCAATTGTACAAGATATTGTGTTCTTCTGAAGTAGCTGGACTTATAACAACAAAAAAAGAAAGAAGTGCCCATGGCTCTATGGAGGCACATTAGTCACAGGTGCTTTGAATGATATCCAATTTTAAAGGGGCATGTCAATGTTGCAATATAATGGCACCTCATTTCTCCAAAGGTTCAACCGTGTCCCGCTGCCAGTCCAGTGCAGCTACAGTACTTTATTGCTGTCGTGTTTCCAATTCTTTCTTAGCTCAATGAACATTCAAAGTCGGGAATGCGCCAGGCTGATGAGATTGTGCAACACCAGCTCAGCATGCAGAAGATGCAGACAGAGATCAAGATGCAAAAGGAATCGCACAAAGCATTGGAGAGCCACTCTGAGCGTGTTTTGAGCGAAGCTGTAGCCAAACTGGAGGCTTTCGAAGCGGACTCCACTGTCATGAGGTTAGAACTTGAATTGCATTTGCAACAGTACTCCTTTGATAGCATGTTCTATCAGGAAAGACACACGTACCCATTGCCACTGGCGCATCCTATAAAGCTATGTATCCGGTGCAAAGCGCGCTGTGTTTCTTGCAATTAGTGCACAGTGCATGACTTTGATGCCGAGTCGGGTTAAACATGCTTTCGGTTGTTCACTATGCTTCATTTCGATCGGTTCAATGGCCAATCGCTCTGAGTCCCATTGATGACTTAACAAAGTCAAAATTGCTAGCTGTCTGGAGGTTGAGCGTCATGTGTTTTTATACATGTTGCTGATGGGGAAATTTGGATTGCATTTTCCGACTCACACTGACCACACAGGGCAAGCTTGCAAAGTGTCTCCCAGGAACGGGACGATCTGCGCGAGAAGCTTGCCAAGTTGGATTCCGAAAGCCGGGAGTTGAAGAGCGTGCTCCGTGCGTCGGCCAGCTCACACGGCAAGGAGAGGGAGCGGTTGAAGCAGGTAAGCCGTATTGGAGAGCATAGTAATATCCCACAATCTGCCTACCGTGTCACAGCTGACTACTCCTAGCCCATCTCCTCTATACACGGTCTCCAGGTATGTTCTGAGATAGTCCACACACAAGTGTCATACTCATAGAGTATGATGATCATGGCAATATAATTATCCTTGCTCTATGGTAGCAGATGGGCAAAGTATGGAGCCAGAGCCAAGCGACTAGCAACAATGCATGTACTTGCTGATAGTTCTACCCAATTAATTTGAACATTTAGTCTCTATACAGAACCACACATGACCACAACTTGCCTAATCTGCAAACAAAGAAGAATAAAATGTCACCAAGCTTTGACCTAACGCGTTTTAATTGTACTACAGTGTCCTCATACTGTATGTATATGCTCGTTGAACTCACGTTCCCCCCGCCGTATGTACACTGTTGGAAAGGCACCCATGTCTCAACCAATCCATCGCCGACTCTCGAATGTGTTCATTTCCACAGGCTCTAGAAGAGCAGCAGCAGCGCAGTCTACACGATCAGAAGCGACGTCGGCGACTTCGTGACCAGCTGGTGAAGATGCAAGACCAGCTAGCGAAGATTCAACAACAGCAGCAGCAGCAGCAACAACAGCAGCAGCAGCAACAACAGCAGCAACAGCAGCAGCAGCAACAACAGCAGCAGCAACAGCAGCAACATCAGCAGCAGCAGCAACATCAGCAGCAGCAACAGCAACAACAACAGCAGCAACAGCAACAACAACAGCAGCAACATCAGCAACAGCAACAACAACAGCAGCAACATCAGCAGCAACAGCAGCAACCACAGCAGCAACAGCAACAACCACAGCAGCAGCAACAGCAGCAACGACAGCAGCAGCAACAGCAGCAACGACAGCAGCAGCAACAGCAGCAACGACAGCAGCAGCAACAGCAGCAACGACAGCAGCAGCAACAGCAGCAACAACCACAGCAGCAACAGCAGCAACAACCACAGCAACAACAGCAGCAGCAGCAACAGCAACAGCAACAACCACAGCAGCAGCAGCAGCAGCAACCACAGCAGCAGCAACAGCAACAACCACAGCAGCAGCAACAACCACAGCAGCAGCAGCAACAGCAGCAACCACAGCAGCAGCAACAGAGCGCAATTACGGATGCTCAGGTCACTGTACTAACTGCTGAGGTATCCCGCGGCAACCCAATGGCTCATCATCTGCAACAGGAACCCAAGGCCAAGGCGGGTAGAGATTCTCCTCTAGAGCCCCGGTCACGTGCTGAACACGATGAAAACCTAGCTGTGTTGGAGTTGTTGCAGCAGACAGTCAATGGTGCTCGCCCTGCCTCCACCTTAGTCAGCAAACAGGACACAGGAATACAGACTGATGCCACTGTCGACACCGCCGATGAGAAAACAGAGGGCTCTGATAATGTGGGGAAGAATGGATCCAATTATCATCAGCTGGTAAGCCTGCCAATAGAGTGACATCATACCGGGGAATCAATAATTGCAGCTATTGACATGTACTAACTTTGAACAGCTGCTTGACTCAAATGCAATTTGCTTTCACGCACTACTGAACTGAAAACTGTGGTTGTCTGTGAAATGGGAAAGATTATTTCTGTTTGCGTACCTGTATCTATCTCTCCCGTGAACTACACACATACGGTACTGGACTAGAATTACTCCTCTGTCCAAACAGTGCTCAATACCACAATGGACTGAGCTTCCTTACAAAGAATGTAGAGCCAGGTTTGGCTTGCAACTCCGACAGATTTAACGCTATGTGATCCTCAGGCAAAATCAATTCTTACCTCCTATGAATTATCCAATCAAGGCAAGCATCCATTACGATGTTAGTATGTCATGTACTGTCTATATCTGCCCACTCGTGCACTCGTCTCTGTCATTAATCTCTATTACCAACCTGTATCCCCATGTTTTCCACTGCCAGCAAGAAGAACTTGCTACGATGCGACTTGTCCATGATCGTCGACTCAAGCGTCTTGAGCATCTTATGGAAGACAACCGCTTACTGGAAGAGCAGCTAAAGACATACGAAATCAGTGATGGTCGTGCAAAGGAAACCGCTCTGAATTCTGATCCTATTGTAAGAGCACTGACCGCGAGGCAGGCGGAAAATACTTCATCTGACCCAAGGAGCCTGCAACAGGAAGACTCGCATCGCGGTGCACCGTGGAATGAGTTGACAATGGCCAGGAGATCGTGTGCGGACATGCAACGGAAACTGTGAGTTACCAGCCATGCAGCATAGAAAATGTAAAGTGGTGTGGACCTTGGCTAGCGCCAGACACTACTAACGTATTTTGCATAGCTACGGGAATAAATACTGATGGGCCCAGTCACAGGGCTACTCCCTATAGCGGGCCTGTTTGCTATAGCATTTTTGCTATAGCAGGTCTGTTTCCTATAGCATGTCTGTTTCCTATAGCGGGTCTGTTTGCTATATCAGGTATGTTTGCTATAGCGGGTCTGTTTGCTATATCGGATCTGTTTGCCATATCGGATCTGTTTGCCATAGCGGGTCTGTTTGCTATAGCGGGTCTGTTTGCTATAGCGGGTCTGTTTGCCATAGCGGGTCTGTTTGCTATAGCGGGTCTGTTTGCTATAGCGGGTCTGTTTGCTATAGCGGGTCTGTTTGCTATAGCGGGCCTGTTTGCTATAGCGGGTCTGTTTGCTATAGCGGGTCTGTTTGCTGCAGCGGTTTCTTTGCTACAGCGGGTCTGTTTGCTATAGAGGGTCTGTTTGCTATAGCAGGTATGTTTGCTATAGCGGGTCTGTTTGCTATAGCAGGTCTGTTTCCTATAGCACGTATGTTTCCTATAGCGGATCTGTTTGCTATAGCAGGTATGTTTGCTATAGCGGGTCTGTTTGCTATATCGGGTCTGTTTGCCATAGCGGGTCTGTTTGCTATAGCGGGTCTGTTTGCGATAGCGGGTCTGTTTGCTATAGCGGGTCGGTTTGCTGCAGCGGTTTGTTTGCTACAGCGGGTCTGTTTGCTATAGAGGGTCTGTTTGCTATAGCAGGTATGTTTGCTATAGCGGGTCTGTTTGCTATAGCAGGTCTGTTTGCCATAGCGGGTCTGTTTGCTACAGCGGGTCTGTTTGCTACAGCGGGTCTGTTTGCTGTAGCAGGTCTGCTATAGCAAGCCTGTTTGCTATAGTAGATCTGCTTGTTATAGCAGGTATGTTTGCTGTAGCGGGTCGGTTTGCTGCTATAGCAGGTCTGTTTGCTATAGTAGGTCTGCTTGCTATAGCAGGTCTGTTTGCTAAAGTAGGTCTGTTTCCTATAGCAGAGGGGAGGGCGTTCGTATACATGTACATGTATAGTAGAGCTGCCTTGACCGGGCCAGATTGTCCAGTGTGTCTGGGCTGGGGGTGTCAGATTAGATTCATCCAAAATATGTCTGCAGTAGGGCTGAGTCGGGTAGCATTTTCTTCGGGTATCGGGTCCGGGTAGTTTTCCACGGGTAGCACGGGTACCCGATCGGGTAATGTTTCCATGGTAAGACCACAATGCACACCGGCCCCTTCGGAATTCCCTTGCGCACTGGGTAGACATGCGTGAATTATTTGTACACGTGCACTGTACATGATGTCATCTGCGCGCGACGTCGGGTTTTCGGGTACTATTCGGTACCCGACTACCCGAGGTCCTCACGGGTAGCACGGGTACCCGACTACCCGTGCACACCACTAGTCTGCAGTCCTGTCCCGCTCTGTTTGACTTTGTCCCGTACTCTTTCTGACTGCAATCGATGGATTTCCTGTTCTTCAATCCTCTTAGTACGGAGGTTTAGCATCAAGAATTTCGCGTTCGAGTTCGCGAACATTTTTCGGTTCGCGAACTGGATTGCGGACTTTCGCATTTTTCGTTAGGAAAAGTATTCAAAACATGAATCATGGATTCGTGTCAGGACAGTCATACATTTACTTTGCTGTACTGTCTGTACACAATCGTGTACATGTGTGACGTGTCAACGTTATGCATGTGCGAATTCTGTTTGCTAATCCTTCTCATAACTCGAACGATACGATTCGCCATGCCCTCTATTCGCTACTAGTATAACGATATCATTCCCGTAGCTATGCAGAAGACGTTACTTCAGTAACGTCTGGCGCTAGCCAGGGTCCACACAGCTTTAATTTGGTGTTTGTGTGTTTGTGTGTTTGTGTGTTTGTGTCACGCCTGGCGCTATCCGTATCTGACGGCAAAAAAGCATAGGATGTTATAAATTTTTCAATTCTCCTATTTTTCAGGCATATCCTGGGATTCGAACCCGCACTATCGCCCTACATGCATTCCCCCATACACTTCGCATTCATACCCATTCTTCCAAGTTGCTTCACGTTATTATCTTGCGTTTGAAAGCCCTATTTGAATATTCCGGGAAGCTGTATGTGACAGCTGTGTTTGATGGTACGGTACGGTACAGGAGACGGTGTCGTATTACCCTCGATCGTACCTGTCCCGTACCTATCCCCTACCGTACCGTGCCATCAAAGACGGCTGGCCACAATGCATATTCAAATAGGGCTTTCAAATGCAAGATCACAATGTGAAACAACTTGGAAGAATTGGTATGTATGCGAAGTGTATCGGGGGATGCATGCAGGGCGCGCGATAGTGCGGGTTCGAATCCCAGGTTATGTCTTAAAAAAAAGGATTTTTTAAAGAATTTATAACATCCCTATGCTTTTTTTTGTCTAGGTCATCAAGGCAAAAAAAGCATAGCGTAGGGCCCTGAGCTTCCAAGCTCTCTCGTTAATGCAATGCCCAGGCGATGCTGAACATGTGTGCATTTCTGCTTGCAGGGTGTTGGCTGAGGAGGAGCGGGATCAGCTACTGGTGAAGAATGCCCAGCTTGTTGTTCAGAATGAAGACCTGGCTAACAAACACTGTCCCACTGGTAGGTCATCCGTTGTATCAAGATACGCTGCTCTGTTGTCTGTGTTTGTTTGATTAGCGTACCAGGATGGTTGTGTTACGGTTCATGAATACACCATGTTATGATGCCAATATTGTGCACATGATATTGCAGCGATGATGTATCTCTCCTTGTCCCACTACGTTCACCAACATGAATCGCTTGTGTGTGTGCGTGTGTGTGTGTGTGCGTGCGTGCGTGTGTGTGTGTGTGTGTGTGTGTGTGTGTGTGTGTGCGCGCGTCTGTGTATGTATGTTTGCGTGTTCGCATCTGTAATGCATTCAGGACAAGCTATTGAAACAGGACGGAGCACAGTGTCCGGAACTCAAGTTAACAGAGCTCTGTCGACAAAATCACCTGCTGAGAGGGTAGGTGAAGTCGTCCCACAGCGGCAACGGGAAGCAAGTAAACAGACTGAGAGTACGGGAAAGGTAGACATTGCTACCTGCACAGCTCTGAGTGGAACCAAGGCAGCAGACTACCAAGTAGCAATGGAACGCTTGCCAGGGTTGCTACAGCAGGTGAGGACTGTCACAGTTTCCGGCTTCTACTATCAACAATTCCCCTATTAGGGGCCGTCCGTAAATATCGATGTTTTTTTAGAGACGATATTGGTGCGTCTGGGGGGGGGGGGGGGAGGGGGTTTGAGCCATGTGCGTCTTTTCGAGCATCAGAAAAATATCGATGTAAATATCTGAAGTTTCGCCGATCCCTGCACGCGGACGTCTAAGTGGCTATACAAGAAATGTGAAACCAGCTTCCGTTCGCGGAGCTAAAACTCGCGACACAAGAACAAAATCAAAAATTGGAAGCTGTACACCCATGGCCCAGTTTATCCATCGCCAAGCTGGCACAGACGCTGAGAATGGTACAACGGAGCGATGCGAGCACTGCAAGTATGTCTTCTTGTCAGCGGCTGATAAGCTTCGCCACAACCGCCTGAGTCATAGCAGTGAAGGCACTACATCCAGACAGCAGAAGGAGCATGTGTGCTCGTATTTGGATGGTGCTTCTACTTGTGGCTTAGCCTTCACCACCTACTATGGGCTAATGCAGCACAAGAAGGCTGCTGGCCACAAGTGTTCTCGAGGGCGACCAAAAAAGTCATAATGCTCTCCTTCTCAATTAGACCATATAAATACTGCAAACTTGCCATCTTGGGTTCATATTATTGATAAAAAAAAGGAAAAAAATGAGCATCCAAAAATATTGATTCCATGATCTAGATGTACATGTGTGTCTTCTGGGGGGAGGGGGGGGGGGGGGGTCAAGGGAGAGAAGCACCAATATCGTCTCTAAAAAAACATCGATATTTACGGACGGCCCCTTACCGTATATACAATATTAGTATTGAACTCTGTGAAGCACAAATAGAAACATGACTGCAGATAATGTTCCATTCAGGACAAGGTTGCATTTACCAGTGGAGTTAGCAGTATAGCAATTGAGCCTTGATACTAGGAGATTTCTGTGTATTACACTGTAGGTCGAGGAGCAAGCAAAACGGATAGACACTCTGCACAGAGAACTGAGGTGAGACTCCGTGTGTTACTAGTAATTCAACCTCTTTTATGCCCGGTAGCTGTTCTGACTGTCTATCTACGCACTATGTCGTAATCGTGATCGTGCTATGTTTTGTCGAACTAGCTTGCACCGTAGTTCTTCATGATCAAGTCAAAGTTTCAGAACTGTAGTCTTCTGGGCTCTGGATACAATGATTGGTCTGAGAGGGCTGGAATACAGCGTCCATGAGATATTTTCAATTGAGTGCACTTCGTCTTTGGACTTAGGGCCTGTGCGTCAATGCGAGCTCTCTCCACAGGGAAAATACAATGGAAGTCACTGCATGGATGAACGTTTCAGAATGTGCAGTCCTCCGTGGCTGCCTAGTCGGATGGTTCTGGTTTTTAAAGAACCTATGATACGGCATTCTGCACGTAACATGAGGGACCGCTTGCTCAACCTGCCCACCACATGCTATAAAAAATCAAGGAATAATGGATGCGATGGTGGCTGTCTGCTACAGTATTCGACTGCCCAACCGAATGCTGCAAGTTTTTACGTCGTCAAACCCTATACATGTACATGGGAGGCTAAGTCTAAATTCTTCTTCTCTGGGTTGCGTCATTGCAGGGAGAAGGAATCAGAATGTGCTGCTATTCACGCCACCGCAAGTGAGCTGAAAGGACAGGTGTTCATCAAGGACAGGATTATTCGCCTACAGGAGAGTATGTCAGTCCAATGTGCACTTCCTTTTTTTAAGTGTCTGCTTACAGCTGATACTAGGCGTCTCAATTCACCACTAATTTGTAACGTTGGCAACAGACCGGGAATGAATGATGAGCCCAACGCCTGAACTTCCTGTGGGCTACGAGTACATGTATAATTATGAAGCAGCACATTCAGTGGACCATATACTGGTAGTGGTACATGGCATGATGTGCTTAGAACTGAGGTTCTAATCAAGTGTTTGCCGTGAATGTGCCGGCGCTTTGTCCAGGTCATCAACGTTCACCGTCCCCATCCAAGTCTTCCACCAAGAGCCAGTCCTCATCTGAGCATTCTGGGCGTAGTGCCTCTGCATCACAGCCTGACAGAAAGGCCAGAGCAGCAAGCAGTCACAGGGGGCAAAGCATGGGAAGCTCAACGGACCACCATGCACACCACACAGCAGTCAGAACGCATCCTACATGCCATGCATGCAACGAACACTGCGTCCTGCCTGCAGCAACTAACCCCTCTAGGCGGCGAAGGCGGGCCAAGTCCCTACCGCCCTGCATAAGTCCAGGCACCGGTTTATCCGATCCCGGTTATGGCAGTGCGTATTCTCCGCGCGTCACAGGACTCAACTATTGTGGAAACGCTTGCAGGCATTTACATGTGTGTTGCCAAGGGCACAGCCACAGTGCACTAAGACATTCAAAGAGCTGTGAGCATCTGTCTGAGACGACAATCCCACCACACCCCTCATCAAATAGCAGATCTGTATTAGCATTCGGAAGTCGATTTGAACCGACAACTAGTCCCAATCGGCCCAGACGCGATGTACCACAGAAGCGTAGTCGAAGCCAATCACAATCTGCGGCGCATGACCGTGTACGGTCAACATGGAGGATGGCAGCACTGAAACGTGAGGTACGTGGTACTAGTAGATCTAGGCACAGTATGCACTAAAAATCCCGTTCACAAAGCGTTTCGTGTGTACAGCATGTACCTGCATGTTGCGTGTGGGCATGATCAGCGGCGGGAAACATTCTGTTGGTCACGGCAATGCTTGGCCAGCCGCACTCTTCCCTTTCAAATGCCACGCTGCGGCTTCTCTATTCCACCCTATCAGATAGAATGGTTCTGTTCTAATTCTGTCATCGTTTTTTCTTACGATTCACCTTACTGCTGGATATTTCCCTTTTCAGATATCAACACTACATTCTACATGCCGTGCACTGCGCGATGAGAAGGCTGTATTGACACAGAAGACTGATGAACTGCAGCGTCAGCTGCTATCCTACCAAGCCAAGTTGGCCACATCACAGGCCACCACCAAGGTCAGTTTTCACGGTGACAGTGTTGCAAACTGGCATGTGCACGTTGGTGTATCACAGTATGTCGTCTGACTGTGGAGCTGGTCCAAGTTGTTGAAGCTCTACTCAAAATCCCTGGCATAGCACGGTTTAGATGATTTAAGTACTTCGAAGTATTATAAACAGTCCTTTTCGAATATGCTCGTCTCCTCATACTGCAACAAATTCACACTATTTCCCATTGTTTTTGCTGGAGGTCATTATGCCACTTGCTCACTTGCTCCATCAGTATTGACATTGACAAATACATTGGAACTACTTTTGAGATAGTTCGAGGTCACTTCCTACAATCATTAATTAAGGGGAACTATTTTCCGCCGCGATGATCAAGTATGTCCTTGCTGTGCTGCAAACTCCCCTTCTCCCTCCAGCTACTGCAGGACAAGTGTGCCGAGGCAGACCAATCAGACAGTGCTGGGGTTGCAGTACCAACAGCCACACCAGCCAGGCCAGAGCGTGGCAAGAAGGATGTGTTGAAGGCCAGCGATGAACAAGACCCAAGCCGCTTGACAGCTGCATTGCTGCAACTTAAACTGAAGACAGAGAAGGAGCGAGTAAGTTTGTCACAAAAGATAAGAAGAGCTGCTCAAAGACAAGTTTCCGATTTTGCCGTCTATGAAAAATGATCACACTCGTGGCTTCGGCTAAAAGAGGGAACAAAAAACTGGGAATAATGTGTGTCTCTGTCCTCTCACTATGTCAAGTCCATGGAAACAAGAGGTCTCTGAACACCTCCTGCCCTGCTATACAGTCAAAAATGACTATGGGATTACCTACCTTGCTAGCCTGCCTGCCTACCCGGTCCTTTTGAGTGAGCTTTAGTCATGCGGTTGCAGCCCAGGATCAGGCATTCTGATGTTGGCTTCATGGTCACGGTCATCTTTGTATTAGCATTTACATCTTTTGACCGTTTCATTGTGTTTTTGTCCGCTGGGAGAAGAATCTAACGCAAGATGTCAGTCGCCAATTGGCGATGATTCGACGCCTGCGAGTGGAGACGGAGACCCAGACGCACGAGCTGGATCAAGTGCGCAGCCGCAACGTGACCCTGGAGAGAGACCTGCGCCAGAAACAGTTACTGCTGAAGTCGCTGAGGAGCGGCCAGTCTGAGGCGCACCGTACTGCGAATGCTGTGACTGTAGAACTGGTAAGTGTGACTGTGTACTACTATATACAGTTATGTGTAAAGCTACTATATACAGTTATGTGTAAAGCTACTATATACAGTTATGTGTAAAGCTACTATATACAGTTATGTGTAAAGCCCCTTGTTTAAAGCTGCATGGAGTTATCTTGTTTTTAAAGCATTCCAGAATTACCATTCAATCGGTTTCCTGGGTATCAGTGCTAGCCCGGGGTCCCCTGGGTATCAGTGCTAGCCCGGGGTCCCCTGGGTATCAGTGCTAGCCCGGGGTCCCCTGGGTATCAGTGCTAGCCCGGGGTCCCCTGGGTATCAGTGCTAGCCTGGGGTCCGTTGCAATGGGCAATCCTGTACTTGGGTTGCTCCTAGTTTTGAATAAGAACCCAGCCTCTTTAGCCTCTTTAGCCTCTTTAGCCTCTTTCGGTGTGAGATGTGTGTGTGTGTGTGTGTTGGGGGGGGGGGGGGGAGCATGCTTGCATGTACATGTACCTGCTCACACTCATGTAATGCATTCAGTACGGTACAGTGCATTTGCTTGCTGTATTGTTCACCACACAGCGGTCTGCTCAGGAGCACATCAAATCTAAACAGGAAGAAGTGTACCTGCTAAAGAACAAGGTAACGTTACCGTCGTGAGCATTTTTATCAATATTCAACATGATTGTTACCACGATAGAGATGGAGTCGTGGAACAGACCCCGCGCCGCCATGTCCGAGTACAGTGATCCAACTACTGCACTGATGGCATGACATTTTCACCTACGGGACTGATCTCAGTTCCCGTACATAGCACGGGAATATTTTAGCCAGGGTAGGGTAGGAAAGTGCACATTAGATCATCTTGGATAGCATTCCCTAGCTAATTAAGGGCCGCCTTAACAGGCGTGCGGCCGGGAGTACTGCACTGGCCGTTCTCACTGGTCTGTCCCGGACCAGTGTTGCTGCTCTGATTGTTTCTCAATCCTGGCCTGTGCTCTGTTGAAGGTGTCAGTTCTGCAGCGGCAGCTTGCAGCCGAATGTCAAGAGAAGGAGCAGAGCATGTCGTCTCTCCAGGTCACTGTAACAAGGCTCAAAGATGCGGTGAGGGGTTTTCTAGACTGACTCGGGGAACAATCTTGTTTTGGTTTTCGACATAAAAAAAGTTACTTGGACGTGATGCAGGCTGATTGGTGGAGTATTTGATTGAAATGCAGGTTGTGTGTGTGTGTGTGTGTGTGTGTGCGCGTGTGTGTGCATGTGTGTGTGTGTGTGTGTGTGTGTGTGTGTGTGTGTGTGTGTGCGCGTGTGCGCGTGTGTGCATGTGTGTGTGTGTGTGTGTGTGTGTGTGTGTGTGTGTGTGTGTGTGTGTGTGTGTGTGTGTGTGTGTGCAATCAACGCCAGTTTCGGAGGTGTCATTACCTGGAGCGTCATTTGAAGCACTGCCTACCTCTCCCCTAACCTCTCTCACAGTACCTCCCTTCGGGGAGCGGCGTGGCCATTTCTGGCAGCTGTCAATAGTAGTAGTAGTGTGTGTTTGTGCATACATGTGTGTGTGTTTGTGCATACATGTGCGTGTGTATGTGAATGTGTACATGCATGCATGTGCGTTGGTGTTTGGCCTATTGGCGTTGCAACACAGCAATCTGAACAGCAGCGTCTCAAGCAGAGGAGCCGTGAAACCCAGAAACTGGCTAGAGACAGTGAAGCTGCCCGGGTAAGACATGAGTTGAGCTACGCCCGTTCAGAGGTGTTTACGGCACCCAATGATTGAGTACATGGAACAGAACTGAAGGGGCGTGATACGACAACTTGTGACATACACACACCATGCTTCTCTCTATACTCCACTTGTCCATGGCTAGTGCGATGCCGCTTAGTCCAGCGCCAAGGCTCATGCGGCCCCTGCGGCCCTCGGATCAGTTTTGGGAACATGCATGATGAAATATTAATTGAAATGGAGACGCGGCGCTACTTTTGACTTGCGGGTCGGATTTCTTTGGTCCGGCACGCCTGTACATGTACAGTGTAGATTTGAGTATGGGAGAGATTCCCAAAGTCAAAAGTGCTCCACTGACGAATGTCCATGTAAAACGTTAAATTACTTTTTCTTATTCCTGTGTTGGTGAAGGTCTCTCTGAGTGCACAATCCCAAGAAGCCAAGGATGCATATCAGAAGTCACTAAGTACAATGGAACAGAGTGTGAAGTCCTCGCATGAACAGCTAGAGCAGTATAAGAAACTTGTTGAGGTGAGCGTAAGGGCACGTCGGATTTGAGGTGCACTGTTCACATTGTGTTCGCTCTTTTGCTAGCTTTCGCAGGTACATGTATTGTTCGTTCATTGACCCTCTCTATGTATGCCTCCCACTCTGCTTTCTCTCACTCTCTCTCACACACACACAGACACACACACACTCTCTCTCTCTCCCTCCCTCCCCCCTCCCCCCCCCCCCTCTCTCTCTCTTCTGTGCGTCTGTGCAAAATTCTACACTGAAAACCTGCTTGTGAAATCATACATCTGCTTTCAAGCATACAGACCCTGCTGTAGAGCCAGTCTCAGTTGCCATTGTTTAGATGCAAAATTGTCTTTGTGAATGTACAATAAATCTCTTCCCTCTACCTAAGAGCTGAGCTAGCAATTGAATAGTAGATCTATAGGTGTCCTGTAGTACCCTATTCTTTCTGGTTGTGTTGCTGCTACCCTGTATGACATGCGGGTAGCACTACTGATGCTACCGATTGAAATTAATGGGTGGGTGGATTGGCTACTGGACCTTGTGCTTACAGTCGGAAGAAAGCGCGAGCTCCAACGTTTAGAGCAGTCACCTTCTTCACGTATTTCTGCCAAAGTCACATCTTCCTTCGAACTAACTCTTACTTGTGTCTTTCCTTGATTGTCTGCTCTTTCTGTAGCTGGCATTGAAAGATACCACTGCTGCAAATCACTCTGCAGAGTCCTGGGCGACACCAGCTGCAAATCACTCTGCAGAGTCCTGGGCGACACCAGCAGCATGTAATCCACCAACAAAGCCAAGGATTTCAGATAAGTGCAATACACTTCCAGCAGAAACAGCCGTGAGAAGTGAAGTGTCTGCGACAAGTCCGGCCGAAAGAAGAAGTCCAATGGCGACAGGTCTGGCTGTGTCCGACGAGGCCAAAACTCGGTCCACTGCCTGGGTGAAGGCCTGTCAGCTTTCCTGCTCTATACTCGAGCTTTCGGCCTCCGAGCTGAGTGACTTGTTGCGTGACCAAGACACGTGATACAACAGGTGACTCTAACCACTCATGCCATTGGTTTCTCGCCGATGGGCTGTCTGAACCAGGTCCTTGGCTCTGGCACTCCGGCTGAGCAAAAATGTACATAGGCACTTGCGTGACGCCGTATGCTGCGATGACCCCGGTTAGAAGTTAGTGAATTTCATGCATGGGGCATTTGCATTGGGTGTCTGACTCTTGGGTCCTTTGCAGTAGGCATTTGGCTCTTGCTACACTTATTGCAATCGTGTTCAACTCAATTTTGTTACGTCCGGTACTGCAATGCTTGAACAGATTATCTGACATTCTACAAGGCTACCGTTTACCAAGTTTTCTGGTGTTCATTGTGAAGTTCATTTCTTTCCCGGTATCCAATCATGCAGTTGTAACACTTTGGAATGTACACGTGCTATCCGATCATGCAGTTGTATCACTTTGCAATGTACACATGCTAAGCTGGTGGTAGTTCAGTCGCGTAATGCGAAATTGTAGAGTTGCAGTACATCTTGCTGCATACCGTTCAGTGCAGTTGTGCTAGGTGACATCCGATCCCACAGTTCAAACCTGGCGCCCTGGACCAGGTTCGATTTACTCCACCGTATTTGTAGATGTGTACGTCAAACAGCATTTGCACCAGGGAGTAAAACAGAGACAGTAAATTATCGTGTCCGTTCCCGAAGGGAACTCACGGCAGCCACTAACACCCGGTAAACCCTAGCGGCAGATGCAGCGCCTAACGGTGGTGGGGGTGAGGGGATAAGTCTGACAACCACTAGCACAAGTTCCACCAGGGAGTAGTAAAAACATGCTTTAATGCTCCTTGATTTGCACCAGTTCCACGGTGTCAAGAGCCATGCAAGTCCAATGCACCAAAATATGCACTTTGGGTTGGATTTCGCCTCGCACAGCTGTATGCTGTATGTCTGTACTACAAGTAGAGTACAGTACAATACTATACTTGTCATGTACTCATGTACCTACAACAACTACAACAACTACCTCTGGCTCTACACACCCAAGCTACGGCTCTAGAGTGATTTGATCCGTTGGGGTAGTGCATGGTAGCGACTATTCATCACATCTTTCTTTTGGACTATGGGCCACCATTGCCAGTCGCCGTCATCATTATGAAAGTCCACGGGCCGTCATTCTCTGACTCGGGATGGTTTCGCGGCCTACGCGTCAGCCTCACGCCCATGCACTGCCACAAAGCGTTGAACAACACCTGCTGTCCTTGTCAGACCAAACAAAGCTGTGCGACTGCAGATCAGTGACACCTGGAGGACCCGCAAGACCCCCCCCCCCCCCCCCCACACACACACACACATTTGTTATAGTAAGACGATGTAATGTAGAAAGTTGCACACTGGACTGGAAAAGAAAAGAAACATGGAAGAAAAGACAACTCATAGGACTGGCCAACTCACGGCTGTGAAACCTGTATGCTCATGGCCGTGACACCTGCACCAGTGGCACTGCGAATAATCAATGGTTGGGTTTTGCGAAGGGAAGACATTCAAAAGAGAAACGAAACTTGGATGATGCAGCAGTGCAACAGTGAGAAGATGAAATATTTGTATGCTTGCGGTTGCAGTGTGTTTTTAGCAGCAGCAGTGCCATACATTGCGTTTGAACAAATGGCATGCAAGGGTCTGAACCACTGGAAATGCATGCGGGTACTGCATTTCCCTCCAGCCAAGGAAGTCGTTCAGCTTTGATTCACTCCTTCCTTCTTCAGAACGACTTGGGCTTGTGCTGCATGTGATAGGGTTGTGACCAGGGGACATGCCCGTTTGCTGGAACGTTGGGAAGGCCTTGCAGCTGTGTGTTGTGCAAAAGCCTTTGCCTTAGAGAGGCCAATGCGGCTATTGCCTGGCGTCGACGATGATAGGCTGGCCATGGAGCTGGTTTAGAGCCGGCAACGCCATTGCTGCTGCCTTTGCTGGAGCTAGGTGACGAGGAACTGGTGGGAGATGACGTTGGACCACTTGCTGTGGATGAAGGACTTATTGGTGCACTGGACATAGGCGATGGGGAGCTGGTGGGAGAGGGCTTCGGACTACCTGCCGTGGATGAAGGATTAGCTGGTGTGCTGGTGGGACCCGGAGGAGTCGAGGCGGGAGGCATCGAGGTTGAACCTGGACCGGTTGTCACACTTGTTGAGAGCTGTGCTACACTATTAGAAGAAGTAGGACTCTTCGGTTGGTTTTCCGGGTAAGCCAAAGGTTTTGCAGCCCAGCGTCGAGCAGCTGGGCCTGCCGAGCGAAATCTTACGTTCTGCGCCCTAGGTTGCGGCATGGGATATCCGCCGGGATACGGTAGCAGAGAGCTTGCTGTGGGGTGAACCCCATGCCAGTATGGTCTATCCGCCCGGTGGGTTGGCCTACGCGTGGGCCAGGGAATAGGATGGGCTACTGGGGGTCTACCAGCACTTGGGTACGCCCAGGAATTAGGCCTGTAGAATACTGGCCAGAAACGTGAGGTTGCAGCAGGCTGTGCGCTGCGCAGACGCATGCGCACAGCCTGAATGCCCGGCTGTGCATACTGCGGAGCTGCAGTGGGGTAGGGTAGATGCCTGGGTGCTGCTGGGTACGGCTGCCTGTGATATGGGAACGCACCGCCAGGCCTTGCAGGTGCTGAAGGCCACACAACTGGATATGCTACGGGAGGCTTAGGTGAAGGCCACGCAACCGGATATGCTACAGGAGGCTTAGCCGAAGGCCATACAGCTGGATACTCTACGGGAGGTTTGGCTGACGGGTACGCTGACCATCGTCGGTCGACATGAAGAAATGAGCCACGCTTCTTGAATGCCGGCCATATGCGCTTGGGAGGATATGTCTGGGCGGAGATGGTCGGCATACCATAACCTGCGCAAGTGCACCCAGGACGTCCACAACCACAGCCTCTATGCATGTTTCTAACAGCACGAGGTGCAGACGGCGCCCTCGCTCTGGACAGTCTGCGGTAAGAGTTGGACAGGTGAGGAAAGGCGTGCGGAGTCGGTGTGTGCGGACGGTGTGCAGATTGCCGTGCAGCAGGATAGGGATATAGAGGCATTGCAGGTGGATGCTGAATGCGGTGACGATTGCCACGGTTGCCAGGTTTAGTAGGTCTAAACTGATTGTGGGGATACAGCGGCAGAGCAGTTGGATAAGGGAAATAATGCCTTGGGCGTTTGTGTGACGATTTGGGACTGTGAGGCAATGTGCTTGCGTACGGAGGCTTCGCCGTTGGGTAGGGGAGGCGATGACGAGGTCTTGTGTATGAAGGCGTGGGATAGCGATGCCTTGTATTTGTGTTCAGCGGCTTGGCAGTGGGATGGGAATGGCGATACTTGGGGTGTGGAGGATTGGCGGTTGGTAAAGAGTATAATGGCTTAGCTGTTGGATAGTAATATTGAGGCTTGGCTGTTGGATAGTAATATTGAGGCTTGGCAGTTGGATAGTCATATTGAGGCTTGGCAGTTTGATAGTAAAATTGAGGCTTGGCAGTTGGATAGTAATATTGAGGTTTGGCAGTTGGATAGTAATATTGAGGTTTGGCAGTTGGATACGGGTAGTTGGGCTGATTGGTAGGATATTGATGTGGCGGAGGCTTTGCTTTAGGAAGGCGAAACCTATTCCAATACCTTGTCCACAGTGGCTCTTTCATCCAGTGAGTAGCTGTCTGAATGCTTGGAAACTTTGGATGGCCCGGTGAACGTCTGGACCCGGCCGGAACAGTGGCAGAGGAATGCCGAGCCTTGCGAGCAGGTACAGATGAAGGGAAACCGTATCGGCCGGCATAGTCTGTGGTCATTGTGCTGCCCTGAGCCTTATGAGCAGGCACGGATGAAGGGAAACTGTATCGGCCGGCATAGTCTGCGGTCATTGTGCTGCCTTTAGGCACTGCCCATGCATGCGCCGATGGAGCCTTACTTCGATCAGCATTCCCCATGTGCTTTCCAATGCCGCCTACATGGCGAGATGCTATAGATGAAGGGAAACTAGAGGTGCCCGCATAGTCAATAGTGTGTGTCTTTCCAACAGGGGCACTTCTCACTCTGTTTCGGCTGAACAGGTGACGCCCAGTGGCCCAGTAGTACGCCTCTTTTTGCCGCCGCCTGACGAGTCTCGGGAGTAGAAACGGAACACGATTGTACCAGGTGTAATTGAACTTTTTCATCTCCATTGGTACTTGTTTCAGTTTGCCGTTTTGTATGAGGTGAGCAACACTCTGTACTGACTCGGAACGGGGATTGGCGCCAAACACAAATGACATCAGAGCATCGTACTGCTGCTGCTCCAGCTTCTTTCCTTGAAGGATGTGTTTTACAAGTGCCGCGCTCGCCTTAATGTCTTTCAAGAAGTAGATGTGAGCCTGTTCCATGGTGATCTTTAAGTCTCGGTCACGCTGTACAATCATGTCACAAACACGTGCACACACACAACACACACACACGCACACACACACACACACACACACACACACACACACACACACACACACACACACACACACATGAGGACAAACACACACATGCACACAAACACACACATGCACACAAACACAGACACATACACACACACACACACACATATTCACACACATAAACACACTCAGAGTCCCATTAACTGACTGTGCCCTGCAACGAATATTTCACCTACTTGCGAGCAAGACTTGATCTCGGTACCGAAGGTTCATTTGAAGTCATTATTTTCTTTAAAGGGGAAGTTAAGGCAAAAATTAAAATTTCACCAGTTGTAGCCTTTGGGATGCTGAATCGAATGGTCTTGGTCCGAGAAAGCTGAGACGCTCCCTTCCTACTTGAATCCCAATCGAACTCGCGCACTTCCACCGAAACTGGGTGACTGCGCCCTACTAGATGGGGATTTGTATGCAAAATGTCACTAAAAGCGCTATTTCATTCTTATAAAAGCACGGATGACCGCGATTGGCCCATATGTTGTAGTCTTTTGGACGCTGAGTCGACTGGTTTTGGTCCGAAAAGGCTGCGATGCTGCGTTCCTCCTTTATTCCCAATCGAACATGGTTGAACAAGCGGTCACGTGCTCCTGGGTGCCCAAATCACCTGGTCACCACGCCAGCAGGCGACAACTTTCACACCAAGGTTCAACTCGAGTTCCACTCGAGTGACAGGACTGCACCCAAAAAAGGTCAAACAGGCTAGTAAGTTGTACCCTGCAGGCACGGTGACCAGGTGACTGGTGTACGCAGGAGCACGTGACCACTTGTTCAACCATATTCGATTGGGAATAAAGGAGGAACGCTGCATCGCAGCCTTTTCGGACCACAACCAGTCGACTCAGTGTCCAAAAGACTACAACATATGGGCCAATCGCGGTCATCCGTGCTTTTATAAGAGCGAAATGGCGCTTTTAGTGACATTTTGCATACAAATCCCCATCTAGTAGGGCGCAGTCACCCAGTTTCGGTGGAAGTGCGCGAGTTCGATTGGGATTCAAGTAGGAAGGAAGCGTCTCAGCTTTCTCGGACCAAGACCATTCGACTCAGCACCCCGAAGACTACAACTGGTGAAATTTTAATTTTTGCCTTAACTTCCCCTTTAAATCATGGTCTTGATACAAGACCAACCCCCAGTGACGACGACCTGATCAGTTTATACATGTGCTACATCCAGTGTAGGTACATACTAATCATCGAGGGGAGTTCCCTCTCCATCCACCATGCACACCAGGCCAACCAACACACACTACTCTAGTCTTCTGACACTCATAACGAAGGACCAGCAGGGAGTTTTGATACCGTAGAAGCCCGTGAATAGGCCCCGGGTGTATAGGCCCCAGGTGTATAGGCCTCGGGCGATTTCCTGGGCGTGTACAAGGGCACGGGCGTTATGTTGGAACCGGGCGTATACTTGGAATAGGGATAGCAGTAAGTATTGAGTATCAGTACCTGTACATGGACTGGTGTTTGCGGCATACCTGGGCGTATACATAGGCATTGTGGTGATATTGTAGCACCTTTCCCTGCATGGGTCTTGGCACTCAGGCTGCTAGTGCTACTGTTCGCACCCTAGGCCCTGCACTGCTGTACCTCTGGCGGACCTCTTCTCCCTAGGCGGCTTTGAGTACCTGGTTCTCACCGACAAGTTTTCCGGCTGGCCATTTGTTGGGCGTTGTGGGAGGTCGGCTACCACGTCTGACGTCACCAAACATCTCGTTCAGTGGATGTCGGTTGTTGGCGTTCCTACGCGCCTCACGACGGATGGTGGGCCGCAATTCAGATCTTCAGCGTTCGCTTCGTTCTGCTCAGAGTGGAACATTTGCCACGACCCCAGCAGCCCGTACAATCCTCAGTCAAATGGCGCGGCTGAGGCGGCGGTCAAGGCCATGAAGTACTTATTAATGAAAATTGGCAAAGGTGACGCCTATACCAGCAGTGCCTTCAGAGAAGGGTTGCTGGAGTGGCGTAACACGCCTGGTGCAGGAGGAGCAAGCCCGGCCCAGCTGCTGTTTGGAAGGCCAACGAGGACCAAGGTTCCCACACTTCCTGCAAATCTGCAGCAGTACGCTGCCCACAGCCGCAGTGCTCCCCAGCAGGTCTCATCCCAGCTTGGCAAACCTCTGCCCCCTCTGCACGTAGGCGATAAGGTATGGATCCAGAACCAGTCTTCAAAACGCTGGGATATGGAAGGAACGGTCACAAAATGCACGAGAAGAGGACGGAGCTACACAGTCCAGACAGTGACGGGGTCCAGCTTCTGGCGGAACAGACGGTTCCTCCGGCCACGTGCATAGATTGACTGGGCAAATGCTTCTCTTGCTTTTTCCTTGTTGCTTGTGCGCTACGCTGTGATTTTCGAATTTCAGTTTCAGGATTTTCTTTGTGTTAGTGCTCCCAAGTCGCACTTAAGCCGAGGGGGCATGTGGTGATATTGTAGCACCTTTCCCTGCATGGGTCTTGGCACTCAGGCTGCTAGTGCTACTGTTCGCACCCTAGGCCCTGCAGTGCTGTACCTCTGGCGCCTTGCACATAACACATTCACATGTCACCTTTCAAGCCGCCTTTGCAGCCAGCTTCCCTTTAAAAGCCATTGCGTTTTACTGATGATTCTTTCTCATCTTTCGAAGAGTTGGTCTGCCTTGAGCAGGACACAACAGGCATGAGCGCCATTTTGAAACAAAAGTGTTGACTTCTCCTGACTGGGTGTGTGCACGGAGGGTGGGCGTAATTTCGAGTGGGCGTATACAGGGGCTTTTACGGTATTGATACTTGTTCCTCCCGGCGGCTTTCCCCTGCTTCCCTTTCCTGACGAGACAGACGGACGTCGATACAACTGCCGGGAGGCATATACATACAGTAAAACCTGCCATGGCGACCACTCGACCATGGCAACCACTCGACCATGGCGACCACTCGACCATGGCGACCACTCGACCATGGCGACCACTCGACCATGGCGACCACTCGACCATGGCGACCACTCGACCATGGCGACCACTCGACCATGGCGACCACTCGACCATGGCGACCACTCGACCATGGCGACCACTCGACCATGGCGACCACTCGATCATGGCGACCACTCGACCATGGCGACCACTCGACCATGGCGACCACTCGACCATGGCGACCACTCGACCATGGCGACCACTCGACCATGGCGACCACTTTTCCTTGTCACGGACGCATTCACATTCAAAACAGCTCGGATCAGGCTACCACCCGCTCAGCGCGACCGACGACCACCCACCCGCGACCGCGTTGCACAGTGCTAGTACATGTAAATGTATGCATTGCAAGGTGTACCATGCGTGGTAAATCTACACATCAGTGCAGGAAGTGTACATGTGCATGGTGCATGCACGACACTTGACAGGTACTAGGTACTACTACTAGGTCTGAGGACCCCAGGCACATGACTCATGAGTCGTGCGAGAGTAGCATGGATGTGTGCAGTGTGATACACTGATCAAAATGATGTATCACATGTATTATGCCGTGGATATGGTCACGTGACCCACTGAACCTGGATAAGAAGACCACCTGGCCACGGCGACCACTTTTTCTCGTCCCTTGAGGGGTCACCGCTTAGATAGGTTTCACTGTACTTCGAAGTATAATTCTCAAACTGTTCTGAGAAGTAGTCAGAAGAAGACCGGAGCGTGTTCGTCAGTTTAGAGCGGTGCACGACATGGTGGAAACAGAAATGAATGATGTATCCCCGGCCAAAGGTACTGCTCAACCTTTTCAAACTGTAGTGAACTTGTTGTGGTGAGAGTGCACGTTCAGCCGTTGAACACATTCAGGGACGCCACACACGGTATGACCGGTACGACCATGGTCATACCACTTTTCGCGTTATATGTCAATATTGATGATGTTTATATCCATTGTGGAAAAGTGTTAAGTGAGTGTGGTGCTCCTCGTGTGCCCAAATTTGAGAAATTTTAAGGGGAGGCGTTTATATCCGCTGTGGAAACGGACCTAAAGTGATTGTGATGCCCCAAATAGCCCCCGTGAGCCCGAATTTGATTTTGTTTGTGGGGCCCGGGAGCTGTCCCCCGGACCCCCTCTACAGACCCCCTCTAGAGGGGGTGTCTTTCTTCTCGCCTCCCTTCGGTTGTACCACTTTTTCCGTACCGTGTAATGCCCCTGACTTTGCTTGTACATGTTTATACATACTTACAGTTACCATGGTTACCTACAGTAACCTACAGTTACCTACAGTCATACGCACTGGATTTAGCAGGGCATGCCGGGTAAAGGTGACGTTGCAATACCAGGACATTTGTTGTAGTGATTGCACTTACGTGGAACTTGTCTGATGGTATTCGATGACCAATGCCAACCACCCACTCTGCCGTGAATCTATCCTGTGTGGCCTTCAGTCGGGGGGGCCCGTACATGCTACGGATGAGTCGCATGCCGGATTGCGATAACGACAATCTGCACGAGGCCAAATACACACGCAAGCATGCAAACACCCACACGTCCACATACAAATGCAAGCATGCAAGCACCCACACAAGCATGCAATCAACCACCCGTGTGAACATGCACACACACTGAGCATGCGATCACCCATGCGTGTACATACATTCGTGCATGCACTACATGTACATGTTAGGTTCACAGTAGAAAGCTCTCAGTGAGGCCTGTAGGCACGTAGACCATTCTGGACGTGCATATAGAGCTATGGTACATGAAATCCAACCTCATCAATACAACTGCTCCGGGATTAACAACCGTAGCACTACCAACACTAGCCTTACGGGTGTGAACGTGCCTCTGCTTTATCCATGCGGCTGGATTTCATTTCCAGCCGCTGTAGGTAGCCCTACAGCTTACTAGTAGTATGCTGTAGTCCGCAATATCATGTAATAAGGCCACACTGCGGTTTGTTATTCAACATTAAATAAACCAATCCAATCCAAGAACATCGTAAACACTATGCACCTGTGTAGAGTGTACCACTACACACATGCAGGTGTCCAGCACCCCAGTGTGCATGCAACATGCAGGTGTCCAGCACCCCAGTGTGCATGCAACATGCAGGTGTCCAGCACCCCAGTGTGCATGCAACATGCAGGTGTCCAGCACCCCAGTGTGCATGCAACATGATTGTACATGTACATGACGTATGTTGGAAACTGTTAGTTACACGTTGCAGACCCGGCACTCAGTGACTGTCTGTGCAGTGTACACTGTGTGCCAGGGTTTTGCAGTGAGTTTGCAATGTGGCTGCACTGAGGTAAACTGCCATGGCACATGCACAGTACATACTACACATGCTGCAGCTGGTCCTCTACTTACGGTGCACCTGACGATTGCGTAACAGACACCACCACAAGCAGTATAGCCGTCAGGGCAACGATGCCGCACGGCCAGAGGCGTGGCGGCATAGGCCGCTGTGTGGGTGTGTGCGGAGCAGACACACATCAAAAATCCCATTTAGCACACAGACATGTAATACATTACACAACTAATGCTTTTGTCGCGGGATAGCTTGTTCTTATTGTGGGGGGGGGGGGGGGGGTACGCATGTAGAGGAGGTGTGAGTTATCAATGCAGGGCATGCATGGGAAGAGCGAGTGATAAGAATTACATCACTGGATGGGCATGCGCAGTAGGCGCGAACTACTAGTTGGCACGCCTCTGCCCCATCAAAACTTCCCATCGTCACATCGAATAGGCTCTGCCTGTGTTTCTTGGCCCACACCTTGCCATTGGCAAATAGCAGCGACTTTCGTGCGTGGAGAATTACATCGATGTCGCACTTGGGAATGGGAGTGAATTGGGCGGTGAACTCGAGAGCCGTTGTCCCATGCATGCCTATTCGATGTGACGATGGGAAGTTTTGATGGGGCAGAGGTGTGCCAACTAGTAGTTCGCGCCTACTGCGCATGCCCATCCAGTGATGTAATTCTTATCACTCGCTCTTCCCATGCATGCCCTGCATTGATAACTCACACCTCCTCTACATGCCCATGCGTATCCCCACAATAAGAACAAGCTATCCCGCGACAAAAGCATTAGTTCAAGGGTCTGATGATTGCCTTAGCATTTAGCTACGTGCATGAAACGCAGCGTTACAACGTATGTATATATAATTGGTGGAACCATTCTTTTTGACCTTTGTGGTTACGCTCCGCCCTTGTGGTGTTGAGCACTGTTGAAACCTGGGTATACCCACTTATTTAATACATTACGTCATGCGTGTACATACTCGTACATGTGCATGACACACACATCATGGCATGTATTACTTGGCTGGTACTCACAGTGATCATGCTGTGTGTTTGCTAACAGGCCCGCCGGAGCCGGTCCGGTTGGTCAGGTTAACACCGGACCACCTTTGTGGCTACCAACGCATGTTTACTACTGAGGAGGGTATGTGTCCCTGCCATATCATACACGACGTATGAAAGACTTTGGTACGACCGGACCAATTGAAAACTCCTTCCGGCGGTCCTGGCTACCAGTGGCTATACACAAGGTCCAGTGATTGTCTGCTATAATAGAAGAGCAACCAGTCACCTGTCTGAATGCAATGCATGCAGGCTTGTTGGCCTGGGCTCAGTGGAAGGTAGTGTATACCTCTGATGAAGCCTTCAGCCGCTTGTACAGTCCAATCAACGATAGAAACAAGCACACTATATTTCCAGACTCGGATATCATAACAGTCATCATCATTCTCTGGTGTGCTTGGTGTGGACAGTGGAGTGACGATTATGTTATAATTATCTGGTGTGTTTGGCGACACTATGAGTAGTCAATGCCAGTCATGCACTGATTTTGCCACTTTAATATTGCAAATCATACCATAATGACGATGATGATGATGGTGATGATGATGTCATTCATAATAATATTTATAATTTTATATCAATGAGCTGTTGCAACGAACCAATTCTCTCGAGCTATCCGTAACTCGTCAACACCGGAAGCGGAAGACAGGAGCATGTCCATAATTGAAGAGTTGCTCGAGAGAAATGACTATCCACGCACCGAGATAATCGCAGCACGACGAGCAGCCAAGGGGAAGAGACAAGATACACACCCGTCTCAACAACAGCAGCGAGACAGCAAGCGCAGACACAACCAATTCAAGTCAGTCATCAAACTGCCCTTCATCAACGACTCACTTGCCGCTCGTGTCTCACGACGTGTTCGAAAGTTCAGTCCGCATGTTCGTGTTGTCTTCGTGTCTGGTCCTTCTTTGAAGGATATGTTGGTCCGATCGTCGAGTGCTGTACGTGTGTGTCCCCGTGAGAAGCAGCGATCGGAGGTGAAGAGAGGGAGAGGTCGACCAATGGAGTGTCGTGCATGTGATGCGAGTATGGTGGATAGTCAGTGTTTAGTCAAAGGTGTTGTCTATTGTATGTCTTGCACGTTGTGTGCGGAATTGTACGTTGGTGAGACCGAGCGGCCGGTGAGGGACCGATTCGCTGAGCACTACCGAGAGGCAAGGGCGATGGTGGCGAAGGCTCCCTGGGGCTTCCACTATCGTACCCAGCATCGAGAATCTTTACAGTCTTCCAACTTTCTGCCCTTCCACCAGGCAAAGATTCTCGGCAGGGAGGCTTCGCTACCATCAAGGAAACTGCTTGAAGCTATCGAGATAAGGAAGCGCAAACCAGCAGTCAATTGCGATGACGGCTGGCGCCTAATTGACTGATTGGATGTCACCGGATCGTCACTGGAATCGACACCCATCTCCTCGAACTACCACTGGATTTTACCACCTGACACAGCACATGCACATACTTTGCACGTACACCGCTGTCATATACATAGATCACCTTTAGCATTCCCACACTTGAAAGTGTTCTTGTACGTGCTGTAATAGTCTTACTAGTCTTCTTTCTTCTGTTTAGGTCACCTTACAGGTGATGATTGTAAACTTTAGTGTTAGTGTTAGTGTTAGTTTTCTTGCCAAATTGTGTCTGTGTGTATGTGTGAGTTTTCTCATCTTTCGTTTTGTTTAGGTCACCTTACAAGTGATGATTGTTTAGTTTGCTGGCCTTGCCAATTGTGTCACCACGATGTGTTAGTTCTAGAACATTCATCTGCCTGCATTATTCGTCTTTATATTTCGTAATTTGGCCTCCCCTTCCTCAATGCCCTGATGATGCCCAATGGGCGAAATATTGGCAAAGTTATTTATTTGGTGCAGCTGAGAGCCTGTTGCCGGAATGGCGGTGTTTTCAAGTGCAAGGAATACGCTGCAATGGAGTTTGGGAATTCTGAAGAAAATTTTATATCCACACAGAAAATAACGGTTTTCACATCACCACAATCATAACTACTTCCAAAGGAAGCCATTCACACTCGACACAATGCAACATAGTCTGCAACTGTGCTCCACAGAACATTGGCTCTGCAATGAATGTGACCTAGGCTACAAGTAGGTTAGGTACACCATGATCAGAGCCATTGACTCAGCTTTCCTGGATAAGCCTTTCCTCTCTTTTAGGCTTTCTTTGATCACCATTACAGTACACGGTCTCTCCGCTCACCACGGGAGCTCCGCAAGGTTGACTAGCACACCCTCCGATAACGGCTGAGCCGAAACGCCAAAATGGTACTGTATTCACATTTTTCCGGATTGAGCCCGGCCAATATTTTGGTCAAGCTAGGTCGCAAACTGGGCACTTGTCTGGCCTGTAACTGAGGGGAGGACACCACACGCAAACCTGCTACATCATTAAATTTTGCCATAGTGCTGCACGCTGCCTCAGCGGGATTGTCTCGTAAGTCAGACTTTTTTCGGTTACAATCACCTGGTCCCAAACCCCAGAGCAGACTTTGCTCTCTAGTGGACAGATTCAAGCATCGATTCGAAAACTCACTTACCGACGTGGCCGTGGCAGGCATAGCGGGTGGAAAGTTTCCTCCGACCAGTAGACCAGTCCTCGTTTGGATGTTTAGTCCACGCAGTCGCTAGAATGGCGATAAGGCAGAGTTTGTCCCGTCATTTCAACTCTAAAAGGTTCGTGTCTCACCTACCGACGCCGAATTGTCCTGAACCCGTCACTCCGGCAAGCCTTCAATCCAGCTGACCATCTTCCTGCCTGTCACAACACTTGTTGCCAATCCGTATTCACTGAAATGCGTCACACTGGATATACACACGGTACCATCTTGCCGCCACTGGTGCCCTGCCGTACTGTGGCGGAAGTTCTGAACACGTCCACGCCTTGTGTTGAGAGGATGCATGGACCAAGATCCGACATAATCATTCATCATTCCTAGTAGATCTACTAGTAGTAGTAGTCATGGTAGTAGTAGGTCAGTGGTATGCATTACCTGGCAGTGATAGCTCTCAGGTCAGTGCTGGTAAAATGTGAATGGGAAATCTTCTTCTCTTTCCCTCTCCAGTTCAGAATGAGAGTCTTCACGACTTCGGACGCACGATTCATTTGCCTGGTGCTCTGGTGGACCCTGGCAAGTCTAGTTTTGGGCGGCCAGGCCTGCAGGGCTTGTACTGAGGTGTGAGTGTAACTGTGAGTGTGAGTGTGTAGACTGTGTAGTGAGCTGCTCGACCGGGTTTCGACTTTCGAGACGACCGGTGCGGTATCATCATCGTTGTACTTGTAGCACTCGATGCATAACCGAAGTATAATAATAGCATTCTCACGCTATGGAGAGTGAACGAGGTTATAATACTCTTGCTAATATGTTGCCATGACCTAGTCCTGGCTACATGACTGAGATCTAAACTTTGCACTCTTGCTATCTTCGTACACGTGGTCACACCGTATCCTGTGAAGGAGAAGAAGACCATTCCCGACCCTTTACATCCATGTAGGTATGTGGCATAGTCCAAAGCCGAAATGGTGAAAGGGCGCTAGCTAGTGCTGGGCATGGCTTGATGAATGAGTGTGGTTTGAGCATGCAGGGAGTGGTAAAATACTTTACCATTCCCTGCTCTGGAGAGTGGAGTGCACTATAATTATAATGTAGTGTCGCAGTGGCTAAGATAAGCCTGCTCCCCGCCAGACAGCCATAGTGCATGTGACGTCACCACAATCATCAAAGACCATTATTATCAGTCAAAGAGAATTGTGACCGTACTCTAGTATTAAACAGCAATAGCATCTGATCAGAAACTAGCACAGGGTGTAACGAAACAATAGTCATGATTATGTCCAAGAGAGAAGTCAGAACTCCAGACAAAGAGAACCCTGAGTCCGAAATGCACTGGCCAGTGCCCGGAGGCCACATGAAAAATTGAAAATACACTCACGCTGCACCACACAAGATGTGCCACAGGAGAATAGGGTGACGCACTGAATGTGTACGTGAACTACATTCTACAATCATGGTCATGCAGCATGACAGGAGAGAGAAAGTTGACATCCAGTGCTGAGTGATATCCAAAACTACGACGAAATCGAAATTAAAAAAAACAACAATTGCTTGAATGTGAGTCAAGGCTCCAGCTGGAATGAAACAGTTGTCATGAAAGAATGGTGATCATGACCGGGGTAGGATAATGCAGTGGCACAGGTTCACCTGCGAAAACAGAACAGGGTGAACATGAGCCATGGTGGGGGGATCGTCGATCACTCGCCATTCCACAGGGCAATCTCCTTCTCGCGACGCACGACCAGACCAGGCAGCTCCCGCAGCTTCATGCGAAGTGTTCCCTTGTTCCATCTCCTCAGCTCCTGCGGGACTCTCTGTAGCTGGCCAGCATTAATCACCTTCAGCAGGGTGCTGGACTTGAAGTTAGCTGCGCCAACACTGAAGGTAAAGGATACCAATGCGTCGAACTGGCTTTGCTTGACAGGATATCGTACCATGCTGTTCACGGCATTCTCCGCCCACGCCACATCCTGCAATAGCAAGCGATTAGCTTGCTGGATGGTGATTCGCTGACCCAGGCGAACCTAATGCATGTGCAGAGCATACAGCTAGTAGTAAAGGATAGCGTAGTGACTACATTTTCCCCCGGTACACTTCAACTAGTTAAAGGGACATTCGATAGATATGAATGAGGTTGGCGAAGTTGAAATGGGAAAGTCTGAAGAAGAGTAAAAATAACTACTGCGACCAGGATTTGAACCAGAAACCCTCAGTCCCTCGCTAATGGCCAGCAATGCCCACTAAGCTATGGTGTAGTCGGCATCACAACAGCGACCGTTCAACATTTGATAGAATTGCGTTTTCTAAGAACCCATTCTGTGTAGGGCTACCTGGGATTACATTGTAACTCGTTGCAACGGGTCATTTCACGCAGCTGCAATTTAACTGGCCGATCAGCCACTGCCACGGTCTTTCTTCCTCGAAATGCGACCACGTATGCAGGCATGCATGGCCAGCATTGCACCACCTAGCTCAACACTCTTGTTCTGCAGACAGTCCTGCACTATCAAATCATCCCCGCCCCCCTCTCTATCTTTTTTTATTTTTTATTTTAAACTAAGGGCGCGTTTGGTTGGTACGAACTAGAACAGGATTCACCAGAACAGCGCGTTTGGTTGGGACTGTACCTGTTCTGGGTCGGCCAGAACATGTTCTGCTTGCTCCGGCCTCGAGGCCGGAGCAGACCGAGCAGTTTCACTTTTTCACAGTGAAACCTGGCGGGAACATCGATTTTGGTCCCAAATGATCACTTTTGGGTTGGACTCGTTGTATTGTACAAAGTGACCATGGTGACCCATATGCATTTTGAAGAATGCACCAAGTTTGGCACATTTTTCACAAAAAATGTGCTCTGTTTCTGGAGTACCGTTTGGTTGACATGAGGCTGCTCCATGTGCACCAGCTGTTCGATCCTGTTCTAGATCGTACCAACCAAACGCACCCTAAGTCCACATATGCTCCCGAATAAATGCAGAAAGTGGTGGCGGGACCCTGCTGCTCATCTTCTGCCTCGTTTCTCTGTTCTCTTTTTGCTGGGAGTACGAGGGAGGACGAAATGCTGTCTGCAATTTGAGTAACTGATCATTGCAAATCATAGCTACATGAAGTCATGTGGATATAGCCGATATGCTGCATAGCTGATCATAGCTACAAGCTACAGTGAGCGTCGAGCCTGTCACAGAAAACTTACTCGCATTTATATAGTGTAGACTGTAGAGAGGAATTACTTACATTCTTCGTATGTCCATACCCGATGGCTAGCACGCCCACTGGGTCCACATAGGCATTGAGGCGCAGACCGGAGAGAGACTTCACCAGATCGAGTCCCTTCTTCGACATGCGCCTTGCCCTGACTTGAGGTGCGGCGGTTGCGACTGTTGCCTGTGTTGATGTGGGTGTTGGGTCGTCCTCAATGTCGGGTAGGTCGGGTTCTTCGGGTTCAGCAGGCTCTTGGGGACCCGGATCATCGGGAGGTGTGTTTCCTCCATCTCCACCACCACCACCACCATCATTATCACCACCACCACCGCCATCGCCACCACCCTGCAGGCCATCTAGGGCGTTCTCGAGGAATTTTTTTAAGAAATCCTTCATTGGCGATGACTTCTCGTCGCCTCCATTGCCGCCTCCCGCCTGATCACCTTCGTTACCGCCGCCACTCTTTCCGTTGCCACGGGTGCGCTTCTTCTTGATCTGGTCTTTGATGGACTTCTTCAAGTTCTTCATAGCCTTGCGGAGCTTCTTCACAGTCTTCTTGGGAAACTTCGAAAGGACCTTCCACTTGTCCTTGAGCAGCTTCTTGATGCGCTTCAGGGTTTTCTTGGCTCCTCCCTTAGTATTTGATTTCAATCCTCTGAGGATTTTCTTCAGCCTCTTGGACACCTTGGATTTTGCCTTCCTATAAAAGTCTCTGGGCCGTTTTGTGAAGATGTTCTTCCCCTTTCGGAGCATCTTTCTGACAATCTTCTTACTTGGCTTCACAAGCTTTCTGGCTATTCTCCTCACAGTAGATCCAGCAGGGCCCTTCACTCTTCGGAAAAGACTCTTCGCCTTACTCCATGATCTGTTGGCAATGCTGCTCATCTTTCTGACAATCTTCTTACTTGGCTTCACAAGCTTTTTGGCTATTCTCCTCACAGTAGATCCGACAGGGCCCTTCACTTTTCGGGAAAGACCCTTCGCCTTACTCCATGATCTGTTGGCAATGCCGCTCAGCTTTTTGCCAATTCCGCTCGTGGGTCGACGTGAGATTCGTACTGGTGAAATTCGCCTTGGCGATGCCCTGAAACCACCGCCACCAACTCGTCCACGGAAACCGCCGCCACCAACTCGTCCACGGAAACCGCCACCACCAACTCGTCCACGGAAACCTCCACCGAAACCTCCGCCAAATCCACCGCGGAAACGAGGTGACCTGGTCTCCAGCTGAAGCTCAGGGGAGCGAAGATCTCCAGATAATGGCTGGCGTATGTTGGGACGACTTGGTGGCCAACCGATCGGACTACTTGGTGGCCAACCGATCGGACGACTTGGTGGCCAACCCGGCCTGATCGGAAATCGTGGTGACCTGGCCTCTTGTACTGAGATGTCTAGGTGTCCATCATTGTCATCATCCACCTCATTCAGATCTGAGAAGTCGTGTTCAGCGGTAGCGTCTTGGAGCAGATCGCTGCTGTGTGACAAGCCCAGACATGTGCAGGCCAACAGGAGAGGGAAGAACATCTCCAGGAGCCGCATCTAAACAAGAACAAGAACACATGGAGTCATAACAACGATAACATCTGATCAGCTGCTGAAACAGAATGACCAGTCACTTGGCTAGAAACTCCAGGGCCGCATCATGTGCCAGAGCAGTTTTAAATTACTGCTACATGCGGCAGTACCGACTGTACAGCAGTTCACAACGAACAGGGTCTATAGTCTACACCCGCAGGTACAATCATGGAAACAATCCCAACTCGATTCATTTCACACTGATTGGTTGCTACAGAAATATCATGTGACTGTCATGTATCATCATGAAAATTAATGGATTTTCGGCTGAACGTATTTGATGCGATTGCTGTCAAAGATGGTGAAAAGGACGATGGCATAAAAGTAACGCGTGAGGGTCTCTATTAAATTAAATTACGTTTAGCACATTGATACCACAGCTGAATGTCCAATAGAATGCGGTCCCAATTGAATCCAACATTGAAGGTTCGTCTAAAATGCTTTTCCTCGTGCTTGAGCATAGTCTCATCGTGTTCCCAGAGTCTAGAGACCGCCAGCAGGAAATAGTTGATGGTAACTATTCATTATGGCAATATTGAATGCACGCAGGTAAGGCCTTAAGGATAGAGATACATGTGAGTGGCAACAGATGCTACACAATGCTGGTCTGACAAATGCAGCTTTAGCTACAGAACGTAGCATGTTGTTAATAAAGGAGTGGGGCTTTTTGCGTGCTTAAATTAACCCTATATCAATCATCAAGTTGAGAAAATGGGAATATCAATTTTGTACTTCGAAGTAATACTGTTGGTACCAGTTATCACCGGTAACTATCTTGCTCTTCTACTAGGCATGTACTTATTAGAATCCTTGTCTTTTGACTGGAAATAGCATCCCTTGACACTGGTTGCAGTGATCTTCTGGAACAGATGATTGACTGCCTTATCCAGGTGGTCGCCTTGGCAGGTCTTACTGTTTACAACTGAACAACGACACGTTACGTTACCGGTAGCTGCTTTCTCGTATCATGCAGTTTAGTGCTAACTGTTACCGTGTACGTCGGCCTGAAGCTAGGCATGGGCGCGTAAGGCTAGTTATTTGCTGCGATAATGCTAAAGGCAATGCTCATAATAATAATACGAGGATATAATGCCACTTATAATGCTCACACTATTCCATAATGCCAGTTTAAAAGTTGGAAAAGTCGATTTAAGAAGGCCACAGCAGTGAGCATGTTGTCTGAAACAATCCACTGAGAAGGTTGATTTCCAACGTCAAGTCTCCGGACGAAGCCGGACGGGTTCAGATGCACGATTTTCGGAACTGGACCTAGCCAGCTTCATGCATGACACTGTTGCCGACCGGCAATTATGCTTGTAATGCCAATTTTGCATGCGAAATGGTGTTATAATGCCAGCATTATGCCACCTGGAAAAAAGGGACTATAATGCCAGCCATAATGCTAGCATTACCCGTCCATGCCTGCCTGAAGCTAGAGGCGTGCAGACACATACTGGTACAGTGTATGTACAGTGCTGGCAACTGAAATCCGACCCCTTAGCGATGCGTTCACATTCTGTAGCGGTCTCTATTTCGTAGTTTTACTATCCCGTGTTGGGTCTTTGCGATGTGATCGTGAGCGCACCGCTCAGGGGTCGGATTTCCGTTGCCAGCACTGTAGTACGTTTCAGGCTCACCTTTGGCAGTTGTGTCCAGCTCTTGCAGATGCTACTGGCACTGGCAGTGCCTTGTACGAAAGTGGAGACGTATCAGTTTGCGTCTCGCTGCCGCAATGGACGCCAACTTTGGAGCGATGATGCGGAAAGGAGAGGTTGGAGAGAGAAAATTCGGCCACGGGCCAGCTAGTGTGGCACATGTGGAATAGAGCGAGCGAACAGCGGGTGGCTGGTGATATCCTTCAGATGACTGTACTATCACTCGCCACTCCTCGGGCTCGAGTGTCGGGTTGCCGCGATTCGACGCTCGTGGCACATCTGTAAACCAAAAGCACCAATGCCATGATCCATTGCTGCATACCGGATGTTTGTTGGTCGTCACGGTTTGCTACTTTGGAGACTGGGCGTAGCAAGTACCGTTGTATGAAGAGTCAGCAGACATGATGGTAGGTGGAAACACAGCTGCACACAAGACTACGGCAGGTACAGCTACACACCCAGTGCTAGTAGTGGCCGGATCGTGACTTTAGCGCGAGTCCAGGAACAAGACTACCGCAAAGCTCAGCAAAACAGACCCCCCCCCCTGAATTAAGCTACCGGTACATAATGGCATGCAGCAGAATCTGCTACATGTACCTGGCACATCATGCACAGAGTCGGTAGCCAGTAGTAAATCTCTCTCTCTCACACACACACACACACACCTCAGGCTCAGACATGCCCATCGCGGAAGCGATGATAGCGAACAGCTATGTTAGACATAGCAACTTGTGCTGGGATTACACCATTCAACAGCTTGCAAGGCTGATGAATTGACCGCCACTATTTTTAGCCACACACACACACACACACACACACGCACACACACACACACACACGCACACACACACACACACACACACACACACACACACACACACACACACACACACACACACACACATTGTGTACAATATCATGTACATGTAGCTCGTGCAGACGGTGTTGCAACGGCAGCTTCCATGTTGAGATCATTCGGACAGTACAGGGGTGGAGGCCTAGCCGGTATGTGCGAGGTACGAAGGTTGGGAGTGGCAGCTGCGGGGTGAGTGTGGTAATATCCGCTGCCCGAGTGGCTTCCAGCAGCCCTGGCGACTTGCCAAACATCAAACATTTGAAATTCCATTCGGAATGACCCTCACACTCTACGTGGTGGAATACCGGTAGTCCAATGTACATGTAATACATATGTACCAGTCCCCATAGTTACACTTGGAGCGAGTGCACTAGTGGTAACTCGAGAGAGTGCTCGATACAACTGAGCGTAGCTCTATCCAATATGGCATAATTATTGTACATTATCAATTACGAGCCATGTGCCAATGTTTTACTTGAAATGAAAGCCTCTTTTGAGTCTTTCCCGTCCCTCTTTTATGAAAAGTCACGCGATAGAGCCAAGGTGCAATTTTCGTGAAGCTAATCAAATCCGCAATGAAACCTGGACGGATGTGATGACGACAATGACCATCACCAGTCTGATAACAACATCCTTCCCGAGTTGAATTAACTGTAAGCCTGCCACAAGATCGGTATAATAATTATACTCCAGCCACGTGCTGCTTATTGGCCAAGGCCAAGGAGTTGTATACTGCACAACTGCCTGGTCAAGGGCGATCTCTGTCTACATGGTCTGAACTCTGATGCTGCTATGGGTCAGAAGCAGGGAGTCGTAACGTTATAAATGGTCATTAGAGTATACGACTCCCTGGTCAGAAGGACAGGAACATGCCTGAGAATACAATGCATAAATGAGCGGACATCACAAATCGGACGCAGCAAAACACATCCTGCCTTGGACATGGCGCTTGCATCCAATCAGCATCTGCAGCCTATGAGACGTACCGGAGATCAGAAACACAACCTCTTACCCTACCTACCAGAAACATAAAAACGAACATACCAGAATGCATTCATTGGTTTGAGGGGAAGATGCGAATGGGAAAAGTCTGAAGGGACCTTCACTTGAGGCCAGCCATGCTCTAACCACTGAGCTATGGTGTATCTGTCATCCCAGCAGAGACCATTTTAATTTATTTGTTCAACATTTTCTTCGGACTTACAGAAACTCGCCACAGTACATTTGTTTCTACAGTACTGTAGAACGGGTAATTTTAGCGACGTAGAAACCCTAGCGAATTTAGCGATCTAATCATTTTCGCTAAAGTTTCAAGTCGCTAATCCGTTGAGAAGTTAGTAGCGCACTGGTGATCCGTGAGTAAAATCGCTGCAAATCGCTAAAATTAATAGAATAGCTAGAATTACCCGTTCTACAGTATACTATAAGACCAGTAGTGTGTCTCCTTATTGAAAATGGGAGCTTGCAATTTTAGAATGAATACTGCTAGTAGAATGACTAGCACACTAGTGGACGTCTCTGGCACGGACAAGTACACAATCCTGCAAATTCCTTGGCTTCAAGGGGTACTCCCAGTAGAAAGCTAGGTCCTTGGCTTGGGTACTCCCAGTAGAAAGCTAGGTCTCAGCCAAGTTGCCAACAACATCACCCTGGCTTCCAGGGTTGCTGTTGCCCATGCTAGGAGTGCCCTGGGTGGTCTCAGGCATTTCAGTAGTTGCTGGGGAGCCTTGTAGACTCTCCATTTGTCCCAGAGTTTGGACGGCAGCCGCTGTGGTTGGTAGATCAGCAGGAGATGTGCTTGTGGTGCCTCCTGTTACTGGAGTCCAGGGGATCATCATAGAGGTGTGAGTTACTCCAACGGTTGTTTCATGGGACGGCTCATCAGATGTCACCAGTGTTGTGTCGCTAGGTATTTGTTTTGGGCTGTCGGTGGTGCACTTCCCGAAGAGAAGGCTTTCTAAGTGCCGAAAGCGATCACGTACTATCTGCGGGAGTTGGTCAAGCAGTGCACTTGCAGTAAGTTGTATATTATCGGTTTGCAGTGGTTCCAAGATTCTCGAACGGGCCATATTCTTGCTTGTGATATCGTCGCGATGAATGGAGATCGGTGGTTGCATGAAGATATGGAATGGATCTGAATCTGATGGACTGAGAAGGGCGACATGCTCGTCATTGCTTGGCATAATTGGTGGACGTCCCGGCAATGATGACTGCTTTGACTCGTCGACGTGGAAGCTACTATGTGCCAACTCATAGTTTGAACTTTCAGGAGATGCATGGTCGTACTCTTCGTGTGGTGGCAGCTTGTCAAGGCCAATCAGCGACGAGATAGGGTGGTATAGAAAACGTAGCCTTGAGTTCAGCTCTTCTCCAATGTTCAAAACTGGTGCGCTGCTGACGGTTCCGGGAAACCAGCTCAGCAAGGTCAAGGATGTAGCCAACACCATGAGCGCTGGCACGGAAAGCAAAGTAGCTACTCGTCGACGTCCCGCGCCGTCCATCTATATGTATAATGCATAAATAAAGCACAAGAAACATGGTTTGCTGTGGTTGAACTGTTAAACTGGTGGAAGTATCATAGATGCTAAATTACAGTTTCAAAGCGTGTAGTACATTGCAGGGTAAAGGACTGGGTGCAGTTTAGGGTCCCAAATTATTTCGCACTTTCCCAGTGTTCTGTGTTCTGTCACGCGTGAAGAAAACAGCTTCGGCTCCCTGCTCCGCAGCATTCATCAGCAGTACCCTGTTTGATCAGTTTTGATGAAAATAAAGTCCATGTCAACAGCTTCTGTGTTTGATCTTGATTTACAGTCAACTTCGTTTATAACGACATTCGGCGGGGCATCAAAAAAGTGTCCTTATTCGCGAAGTGTCGTTATACCCGAAGTCTCATTATATGTATTACAGTTGGATGGAGCTTTGCTCTGGGCAAGGACATTCTGTCGTTATTCGCGAATTGTCGTTATATCCGCAGTCGTTATTAGCGAAGTTGACTGTACAAGGTTTCTGGGGTTCATGTACTCAGAAAGCACACGTGACAGTACACAGAACACTGGGAAAGTGCAAAATAATTTGGGACCCTAAACTGCACCTTTACCCATTGCAGCTATACTCGCACACGCCGCATGTATTTAGTACTAAGTCTTGCTACTTACCCATCGTTACATTTTCAACAAGCAACCCATATATCTACGTATTGTGTGTATGCCGCTCTTGACCGTCCGAAAAGCAAAACTCACCATGAAATTTGTCAAGAAAGGTGCTGTGTCGACGTGTCGAACTGCAACACTCTCACCGGACTCGTTTTCGTTCTCTTCGACCGATGAGGACGATTTGCCTGCACTACTCCAAACAGGCAAGCACGTGGGGGTGCTTCTCAGTTCGTCAACCCGCACGGCACTGCGTTGCTCCACCAACACGCCAGTACAATAATTATTGCTGTGTGTAGCATGTGTTTCTCCAAGCGTCGGGCTATAGTGTCGCTAGGGATGTTGCTGTTCTCACCGTTCGCATCAGCATCAAATATGTACAAGCACCATTGCCAACTGAACGGTTTGCTTCAGCAGCCTTTTGATCTTTTATTGGATGACTCCATGCTGGAGAGTACCCTAGCGGTGGTCATCAGATACAGTACAACTCAAGATGGATTACAATGCCTTTCTAGACAGGCAGACTGATAGTGATAAACGCTACAGAGCACCGCGCTCCGCCTCTCTGGCTCGAGATGTGGACCGCAATGCCATACACACGGCGACGCATTTGTGTCATCGTGTTTTCGGTAGATCGACGAGTTGGCTCATCCGTGTACTATGTGTATGAACGTAAAAATATGGGAAGTGTTTGATACTGGCGATGACGGAAGTGAACCAGCATGCCATGCCATGCCGTCAACTCGTCAAGCTGCAAGCCTCTTTACTTGTCTTGAGCTCTTCTGAGACTTGTGCCATTGCAATGTACCTGTACTGCTGTAGTGGCTCATGTTGTTGGTTTGACAGCATGAAACAAGGTGGAGGCCACTGTGACTGTGTTCATGCTGTCAAACCAACGTTACATAAGTAATCACAAGGTTTATCTATATCTAGTATTGTACTACAGTGCTGGCAACTGAAATCCGACCCCCTGAGCGGTGCGCTCACATCGCAAAGACCCAACACGGGATGGTACAACTACGAAACAGAGAATGTGGACGCACCGCTAGGGGGTCGGATTTCAGTTGCCAGCACTGTGGTACATGTACATGTATTGGGTTATAATAATTATAACACTGTACTGTGCATGGCTGCACCGACTCTGCTCTCACATACTTACATAGACTATAGTATACATGAGATACTAATCGTGACCGCCGATGTGGCAACATCTTTTCGTAATGAGATACATGTACAGCCATAGTCATAGTCATAGTCATTGTACTTCCTTCATACCTGCACATACCCGTACATGGCAGGGTTGTTCTATGAAGAAGAAAAGAGTTGTGTAGCGTTATTACTTGTGTTTGAGTTTTCAACCAAAAAAAAAAGGATGAAGAAGAAACCGGTCAGTGTGTTCGCCTGCCTCCCAGAGACGATAGACAGAAGACATGGCTGTGAGCTCTACATACATGTAATTCTTCGCCTTGACCCGATCCGACACCGTGGACACGGTGCATGACGACGGTGAGATGTCTGTCACCTGCTTCAACACTGCCAACAGTCAGTGCAGACAAGTGCAGAGTGTTGTGTCGGGTATAGCGCAGCATGTCAACATTGTCACGGTAAAGTTTCAAGCCCCAATTCACGACTCCTTGATGTCCACATAGTCATTTCGGAGTCCCATCTCAGACCTCTTTCGGATGTGGCAGTATGACGGCGTGTGTCGCTCCAGCAACTACTCATTGGGCTTCGGAGTCACACTCGTCCTGATCGACCAGTACTGGCCAGTCGATCGCACGGTGCAGTGATGCAGACGGTAAACTAAGTTACTTACAGTTACACCCATTTCCACTATAAATAAAGTATACAACAACAACAACAACAACAACAACAACAACAACAACAACAACAACAACAACAACAACAACAACAACAACAACAACAACAACAACAACAACAACAACAACAACAACAACAACAACAACAACAACAACAACAACAACAACAACAACAACAACAACAACAACAACAACAACAACAACAACAACAACAACAACAACAACAACAACAACAACAACAACAACAACAACAACAACAACAACAACAACAACAACAACAACAACCCTGCACTCTTGACAAGTCTTGTCAGGGCGGTGAATCGTCATGTACGTAACGACGTAACGTTTATGCCAGGCTGAGCTGTACATGGGATGCTAGCTGTATACAGCTGCTGGTCATTGCATTATACATGTACTGTACCAAGATGTAGTACTAGTATTAAATGGATCGTCCGCGCCGCCAGCGTAGCAGAAACAAATACAATGACCAATGTAAATAAATGCGGACATGCAGTTTCTCACCTTCCACACCCCTCCCCAGAAACGCAGCTGGGCTTACGACAAGTACAGTACTGTACCAGGCTTGCAGTGCAGAACATTTCTGCGGTAAAAACGGCTGCAATTCGAGTGTGAACAGGAGACGGCGTCGTGCGCCGACTACTACCGATTCGTACTTGGACATTTTTTAGCATTTCGAACACTGCGCTTCCCATGATAACTCACAGAATGGCTAGCACGACTTGGGTTGAATTTTAGCAACACAAGATCTCATAAACAGTTAAGTAGTAGAGCCCACACGCTCTCTTCCATTAACACTGCAATAGTTCAACTCATTTCACAATTATTACAACGTTTCGGCAAATTGCCTTCATCAGGTGCACAATATTACAATGTTTCGGCAAATTGCCTTCATCAGGTGAACCTGATGAAGGCAATTTGCCGAAACGTTGTAATCGGATGTGCAGTTTCGTACCATTGACATTGTTGTTGTCGCCTCACCTGATTTTAAAAGTCTTTACGAATTACATGTACATATTGTACATGTATAATAACACAAACAATAAGCCTGTGAGTGACGACGGAAAAAGTGTTTTACCTCTGAATCTCACGCACTAAGCGATCAGCAGAAAACGAAACTCAGAGCTAAAACACTTTTTCCGTCCTCTTTTTGTACTACTACTGGCTCTGCTTCTCGGCACTCTCTTGGACAGCCTGGAACCTCTCTGCTTTACATGTGCATGTACAGGTACATAATAGCCAAGTCCACCTCATTCATTGTTCGTTTGTTTGTGATCCAGATGGTGGGCTCCAGGCCGAAATATTGGTTGATGTTTTTTTCTTGAACGAAATAAAGAGAACATTGAACGACGTTTTCTTCATTTCCACACTAGTACCCTGGTACTTGTAATCATATTCAGTGTCATGGTGGCGTACCTAGGGGGGGGGGGGGGGGTGCTTTGGGTGCTCAAGCACCCCCTCAAATTTGTGGCCCATTGGAAAGGTCTTGAGTGAGGCTATTCCATTGAGATGTGATTTAATTTGATATTTAGAAAACTGTATTGTGCCCAAACTCTGAAAGAAGAAAATTAATGGGGATGTTCATAAACCAGACTTTTGAACGTGATTTGTGGTCGCACAGTTATCAGATGTCTCTAATGGATTTTTTGCTTTCCACTCGCTGTCACTAGTTGATCATAGTTTGCCGTATTACATGACCTTTCATGTACCAGGACAGAGGGTTATCGATATTGTCAGTACCTCGACTTGTTCTATTTCGATTTTCAGTGAACAGTTCGATCACTTGTTCCGACAAACGGACTGAAAACGATTGTTCACGAAAGTGTACTAATCTGTTGTTTCGGGCCCTTGAAATCCTAAAAATACTCGGCTTCTAGAGTGGTCGCTACCCCCTTGCCTCCCTGCCATTGAACACCTCAGACACTACTTCTGATTTCTACCAACAGAAAAGTGGCAGCCCTCTGCTACTATCCTGTTTGTGAAGCTACCACCATCCATTGCCCTTGCTTCCTCTATTACCTGATTCCATTTCTCCATACCAGAAGCAAGAGTATAATATAAGCTCATGGGAGCTTATTTACTCCTGCCAGAAGTTGTTATGGTCGAGGCCCTGACAATGTCGATAACCCTCTGTCCTGGCACATGAATGTACAAAGTCATGTGACACGGTAAACTATGATCAACTAGTGACATGTCGACAGCGAGTGGAAAGCAAAAATCCGTTAGAAAAATCTGATAATTGTGCCACCAACAATCGCGTTCAAAAGTCTGGTTTATGAACATCCCCATTTCTTCTTTCAGAGTTTGGGCACAACGCAGTTTTCTAAATATCAAATTCAATCACATCTCAATGAATAGCCTCACTCAAGACCTTTCCAATGGGCCGTTATCTGCGTAAATCGGACAATCGGTCGCAAAGTTATGGTAGTTTTAGTGGCATGGGTACCGGGTACATCAAGTTGGCCTTTTGTCGAAAAAATTACACCCCCCCCCCCCCCCCCCCCCCCCCCCCGGATACGCCACTGGCAGTGGCAGTGCTGCGGTGGAGTGTGCTCACCCTAGTAGTAGTACCCTACGAAAGGTAAGATGTACTAGTAAATCCACAAGTGGTTGAGTAAAAGAACCACTATTGGCACTAACGTAATGGGAGACTTGGGGTCCGTTGGGGAGACTGTTTAGAAGTGTTTCAGCAAAGGAATAATTACATCTATAAGTATTCAGTGGTGTTGGAAAATCGATTCCGAACAGACCCAGTTTGTTACTGAAGTACTGGCGTCATCACCATCATGATGCACAACACTGACTCTACAATGTCATGTATTTTGTTTGACACTCTCACTTCTCAGCTAGATTATGCCAATGTCTGGTGCGCGCGCGCGCGTGTGTGTATATATGTGTGTGTGCGTGTGTGTGCGTGCGCATACACGCCAGTGTGAAATATTGAAGTGGACATGTGCCGTCAGCTGACTACAACATGTCAGCACAAGCAAGGGGCATAGAATCACTTTTGAAGAAAGTCAGGGTAGGTGGCTCATCGTCGCACAAGTCAGGAAGCCATTACGAATGCTGCTCTGATGCTACCCACTTGCCGTTCCACAACTGGCGCTCTTGTTCTCGACGCTTGCGCGAGCTGGTGACGACACGAGATCCTCTGCCACTAACACGTTTTTGCCACTTCATCATCTCGCCTGGAACCGCACCGGGACTGCCGGAGTTGAGACGCCGTAAAAGAGCGCTGGCCTCGAAGTTATAGAGACCGATGTCAAACGCGAAGGACACCAGAGCATCAAGCTGGTGTTGCTTGAGGGGGAATGTCACCAGCCGCTTCACAGTCTGTTCAGCTTGCTTCAGGTCAGCTCTTAGGAGGCGTTCTGCGGTATCACGTGTGATCACCTGGCCCGTTCCGACCTGAAGTGCACGAAGAAGTAACAAAGAAAATGCGTGATTTGAGTATACATGTGCATGTACGTACATGTACATGTACATGTACATGCATGACCAGTCGTTTTGATACAGTAGTGTACAGAAGTAAGTTAGTTAGAACAAGTGCAAAGTAGACCTACAGGATATGATACCGGTATGCTCCAACACAACATTCTGACACGCTCCGGAGCGCAAGGTTGCCAGACAACACTCAACAGCATACTCTACTGTACTTATTCTGTTATGCAATGCAGAGTTGTGCACTTTGCATGCTTCGCAGACTGTAGCTACACTTGACCTGGGCACCACGGTCCACGGTCCACGGTCCACGGTCCATCTCTGAATGTACAGCAATAATGATTGTGATGATGTGAGCCGAATTCGACGGAATCATTTTAAATTTTTAATCAAAGGCTGAGCCTACTCCACTTTTATGTTTATGTATCTACATTGTATGTCATTCGGATCTTCCCAAGTTGTACATTGTACTGTTGAGATACCGAGTTCAACTAAATGATAAATCAATACCAATACCAATACCAATTGCGACTGATACAAGTCAATTTTGTAAGTAACTAGTTTGTAATGGATGACTCCTAACCGGTCCTACATGTACATGGTTGTATACTCACATCCCTTCGATGCCCATAACCGATGCTCAATACTCCCACTGGATTCCAGTATGCTTGGATACGACATTTGGTAAAGCGCTTGACCAGCGTTTCCGCCTTGATGGATGCGGACATGTGTGCATTGGGCGATGGTGGTTCCTGTGTTCTTGGCACTACATGACCAGTGGATACTGCTAGTCCGGAAGATGGTGCTGCAGTGCTTGCAGTGGGCGTGCGGCGAATGGTAGATGGCTCAGCAGCTGGGTCACTTGCAGATGTTGGCACGGCTGATACCTTACTAGTACTAGTCCATGGCGGCTGTCCTGTCTCTGTGCCTGGTTGTGGTCGCCAGGAGTGATGATGCTTGGTGGAGTGTGGTGGTTTGCGATCGGATGATACTGATGTGGGTTCTGTGGGTGTCGGTTTATGCGTGTAGGTCCCGCTTCGTTGCGGGCGTGTGAAGGATGCAGGAGCAGGCCAGTGTTGGCGTGGTCCACACTGCATGGGACACCATATACTATACCACTCTGCCACGGATACCCTGGAACAGTCCAACTCATATCCACTGCTTGGCAGCTGCACTTTCTTCTCCAGCTGTTTCCCACCTCTGTGCGATCTGTTTTGTTGTTTTCGACTTCGTCTTCGTCTCCACAATCCGGTGACCATGTCCCAGAGGCAGAGACTTCTGACAAAACCCTTTTTCAGCGGTCTCTTGCCGGTTCCATGCTGGAAGCAACTAAGCATCAGGTGTCCTGTTCTGTGGCCATGCCCCCAGCTAGGCGACAGTGTGCATTCTGGGCAAGGTCGCCGCGGTCGCCACGGCATTCCAGGTCGCCGCGGCATTCCAGGGCGCCGCCGCTGTGACCCTGGTTGTGGACTGGCTGGCGCTGTCCACGTTGCCGTTGGCTGCAGCACGGAACACGATTTCATCAGCATGGCTCTCTTGCTCAGTGCTATAGCTACGCACTGGGGTTGGAGTCCCAGTGCTGGTGGCCTCTCCCGGTCCCGTGGTGCTGCTGTAGGAGTGCGAGATCTGCGGCTGTAGTCCATCCAATCCCACGCCATGGCTCCACACTGCACGCACGGCATAGCAGTACCGGGCAAAGCAGCATAGCGACGCAGTGCACTTCCTCTTGCAGACCTCATTGCGCAAATTGCCCAGTCGCTTGAATTGGCCAGTATGAACTCAATGTATCCACTACTCATGGCTGCAAGCCAGGCAAAGATCATGACAACTTTCATCTGTATAGTATCGAACAGGACATACATATAAAGTTGAACTCGGATGGTGAGCCAATTTAATTATGGTTTGTGCCATTTTGTCGCACTCGCTGACTGTATAAGATCTGGTTACGTTGGTGGACAGTTTGGCATAACTCGTAACATTTTGTCCTTCTTCTTTTTTAACATACATAACTTCATAAAATCTCTGCTTAAAAACGACCCGATCCTTACAGCGCCGAAGAAACCTGTCTAAGCCCCGCCACTGCACAAGGGACACCCGAATAAATGTGGTCCTTGACAACGGTATCCTAAAATAAATGGTGCCAACTGCTTCGGCTGTACGCGTGTACTGGTATTTGCAAGAATCGAGCACACATTCTTGGAAGTCTACTCGTAGAATAGTACAATGTCACTCCTGGTTGTGGTCGCCGGATTGCAGGAAAACTCACCGCTATCATGTGGCTGGCTGGCTGGCTGGCTCAGCTTTTTGGACTTCAGAACCACTGACAGTTATACATGTATCTATCGTGCAGCCTACAGCCGTGACTTAGCCTACAGCCGTGACTTAGCCTACAGCCGTGACTTAGCCTACAGCCGTGACTTAGCCTACAGCCGTGACTTAGCCTACAGCCGTGACTTAGCCTACAGCCGTGACTTAGCCTACAGCCGTGACTTAGCCTACAGCCGCGACTTAGCCTACAGCCGTGACTTAGCCTACAGCCGTGACTTAGCCTACAGCCGTGACTTAGCCTACAGCCGTGACTTAGCCTACAGCCGTGACTTAGCCTACAGCCGTGACTTAGCCTACAGCCGCGACTTAGCCTACAGCCGCGACTTAGCCTACAGCCGTGACTTAGCCTACAGCCGTGACTTAGCCTACAGCCGCGACTTAGCCTACAGCCGTGACTTAGCCTACAGCCGTGACTTAGCCTACAGCCGCGACTTAGCCTACAGCCGTGACTTAGCCTACAGCCGTGACTTAGCCTACAGCCGTGACTTAGCCTACAGCCGTGACTTAGCCTACAGCCGTGACTTCTCCCCTCTCCCTCTCGCTTCTTCGAAGACCAGCTAAGCCAACGATGCAAGTAAAAGTTGTCGAAGCCTCTTCTTAACCTCACCTGGCCAAACACAAACTGTCTGTTCGGAATGTCTACAAAATGTGGACTCTGTGGGCTGAAACACATCTATAAATTATTGACGTGGCCCTTTCCGGAACACCAGGCCCGGCAGCCTTACTTCGAAAAGCCGGGAATCCCAGGCCAGGGCTGTTAGCAGATGTTCATAACCATGGTAACACTAGGTACACTAGGTACACTACTACATGTAGGTCAGGGGAAAGCCGAAAGGTACAGGCGCCAGTGATGATGCGACCAATGCAGTACAGTAGCTGAGTAGGAACTAACACAGCTCTGTAGATGTGTGGTGACCGTGTCTGGTTTTGCAGAGCCAGTACACGGCTGCCTGCAAGTCCCTGCTGCAGTCCAGAAGGCATGTTTCCCCGCCAGTTGAAACTGTGTGCAGCGACTATGCATAGTAAGTAGATGCCGTAAACACATTCTATCTGTGGAATACTGATTACTGTAGACTTGTGACAGGGACACTCACAGGCTTGCGTGTGTGTGTGTGTGTGTGTGTGTGTGTGTGTCTGCATGTGTGTGTGTGTGTGTGTGTGTGTGTGTGTGTGTGTTTGTGCGCGCGCGCGTGCCCGTAGACTCGCTCGTGTATGGGAGGTGGCTAGGCTAGGCGTGTGTGTGTTTCCTGGCAGCCAGACTCTGGAGAATAATATTATGCTGCTGATACCCGCACGTCCCGACTTTCTCCCCATGCCGTTGTACAGGTGAGCTTAGTATGACGATGTTACAACTAAATCGTCCAACCCCACTCCATCACACTGCCATGCCCGCTACTTCGAAGTAGGCCGTCGGGTCCTGATACACTGTAACTGATAATAATTATACTGTATTTTCCGGAGTATAAGCCGCCGCCCCCCCCCCCCCCATTTTGCATCCTGTTTATTCATTGTGATCCTGTTTTAATGTTACTACCGGTCAATGCCCATGATTTGTAAAACAGTGAAGGTATGGAAGGAAGTCAAGGTGTTGAACACCAAACAACACTGACCAGAACTAACTGAGCGCTATCACGCATTGACTGACCCAAATGAGTCGCAGTCTCGTCCCAATAGCCACGAAACTAGAGCATTACATTAGCCCCAGCTTCCTTCCTCACCGTGACCTAGCCTTGCACATCTGCATGCATGCACCAATGCAAACAATACGGAACTTGATCCTAAACTGCATTGAAGTCCTCTTGAAAAAATCTATGAACATGTTCTTGCTTGCCTGTATGTCTATTCCATGGAGAATCCCGAGAGTGCTGATGAGCTCCACAAGGCAGGGCAAAGGAGGCGGATCGCCAGTTTCCCCCCGCAACTGGCACCAGATGCTAGAGTCAACTCCTGACCTGGGAGTGGCTGGGAGTCAGGTGGTGAACAGAGATGACGGTCATGGTCACGTGTGATATCATGGTCACGTGTGATATCATCATAACAAGTCAAGTGATCATTAAAATCATTGCAAACAGCTGCTGAGCTGGACGACGACAGACGCTGACTACTGTTACTTGTTAGTACTGTTAGTATTACCAAAGTAAAAAAAAAAGTAAAAGAGTTGGTCGACAAGCCATGGGTTAACCACCCTCACTGTAATATCAAAAAGTTTTTTTTCTTTATAGACCAAGAGTGGTACATATGACTAACAAAGATAGACATAATTATTTACTATACTTTGCCAGACGTTTTGTTGTTCTGAACAACATCGTCAGTACAGTGCTTTATCCACTGACGATGTTGTTCAGAACAGCAAAACGTCTGGCAAAGTATAGTAAATAATTATGTCTATCTTTGTATTATGTACTTTTCGATATTACCAAAGTAAGGCTATGTAATCTTGCTGTCACCTGCCTAAATGTCTTGACCCACTTAGTATATCTACGGCAATGGGGTCTAGGTTGACTGCATGCTCACCATGCACCCGCAGGACTCAACTTGACCTAAAATAGAATGTCATGTATTTGTACACTAGTACAATCATGTATATTTCTTCAGGGGTTCTCCAAACCAAGGCACACGCTCTCTCCTTGGGTTCTCCAAACCAAGGCACACGCTCTCTTTAGGGGTTCTCCAAACCAAGGCACACGCTCTCTTTAGGGGTTCTCCAAACCAAGGCACACGCTCTCTCCTTGATATCTGCCCAATCTGAACGTCACGCTCTCTTCACCATCACGTATGTATGCCAAATGCAAAGGTGTAGCGTGGTGGAGGTGGTAAAGGGGAGGGGGCGGCGGCATTAACATATCCGTCGGTACCAGCAGCCAGTTACTTCTTGAAGTAGATCTACACTGTACTGTACTTGTTCGAGCAAGCCATAATTATTTGTGTGGACATTCCAGTATTACCTTGCATACACTGATGACTGAAGCGTGGAAGAACACATGTTGGAACATGACGCTTGCCTCAAACAACCCGCACACTCCACAATAAACTGCATGCTACCGGCCACCCGGATGATCACGGGACAATGTAAGGTGCCATTAACCGGTCCAAAAAGGAAACAAACACAAACCATTTTGCTTGTCAAACAAGCCAGCATGGATCAGGTTTCTATACCTGTAAACACATCCCTACTGTAAAAGGACAACGGTGACAGGGCAATTGGTACGAGGCTATAATATTATATACCGGTAGGCTACAAATAGCTGTGCTGAAGCGTTGAGATAGTTGACACCGTGGTACTCTGTCTGCCTCTCTCTCTCTCTTCTCTCTCTCTCTCTCTCTCTCTCTCTCTCTCTCTCTCTCTCTCCCCCTCTCTTCTCTCTCTCTCTCTCTCTCTCTCTCTCTCCCTCTCTCTCTTCCCCTCTCTCTCTTCCTCTCCCTATCCTCCTCCTCGGGCTGGTATTGCCTGCGCACACAGAAGTCACAGTTAGTGTGTGGTGCGAACAATGACTTCATCTACCTACCACACCGCTAACAACCAATCACCAGACTTCAGTGCATGTACATGTTCCGGCATGATGCACCCAGAGGGCCCAGAGAGCCCAGAGGGTGTTCTTAAAAACGAAAGGCGTATCACGGTCACTATCACTATCACCACACGCACGCTCAACACCCAATTGTAACATGACTGCATCAAGAGCTGCCATGGTAAGGGAATTGGAAACGAATCATCAGATGCAGCCATGGTGACAGTGATACAGCAGTGACGAGGTTGTAATATACATCCAATGCTCCACTGAATAACGTTATAGCACAACTCGATCAGACCAACATGGAAACTTTCACCCGTGCCCGTGCTGCACTGCTGCAACGGAAAAGCAAACGCACTGCATACTGCATACATAATAATTATGCAGAATTGATATCTGTGTTAGGAAACTCTGGCAGAAAGCACCGTGCTGCTTGCCGCAGCAAGTAAAGCATGAAGTTCTTGTTTACAGGCCATCCATATTATGGAAAAATGAAGAAATACTGTGTAAAAAAATACTTTTCTCCGCTGACAAACAGGTGAAAGCAAAAGCAAATACGCATGATATATTAGAACCTCCAGTGCAATCAGATGCATGCAGGCCAAGTTCACACCGGCCTGTTCCATAGAGCACATTCTGCCGCCCGCCGCCTGATCAATCCCCTCACCGCCTTGAGCTTTCCACCCACTCTTGCCTTGTTGTACCGGCTCATTTCTCCAGGAACTTGCCATGGTCGACCGGCATTTAGCTTTACCAGCAGTCCACTTCGCTGCAGGGCACCTGCACCCAGGTTGTAGGTGAATGACACCAGAGCATCAAACTGATTCTGGTTCAGCCGATAGCGGACATACCTGTTGACTGCATCCTCAGCAACCCTCAGGTCACCTCGCAGAAACCTGTCAGCTTGCTGCCTGGTTATCGTCTGCCCCATTTGGACCTACAGGAGAAGAGAGAGGGAGAGATAGATAGATAGACAGTTGCCTGATGATCGTAGCAATACGTGAAACTCAGAGTTGTGACAAAGCTTCCAATCTCTCTTGTGTAGATAGATAGATAGATAGAGAGGGAGAGAAAGAGAGAGAGAGAGAGAGAGAGAGAGAGAGAGAGAGAGAGAGAGAAAGAGAGAGAGAGAAACAGACAGATAGACAGACAGACAGACAGACAGAAAGACAGACAGACAGACAGACAGACAGACAGACAGACAGACAGACAGACAGACAGACAGACAGACAGAAAGACAGACAGACAGACAGACAGACAGACAAACAGAGAGAGAGAGACAGAGTTCACAGACATGTCTCTGGTAACTGGCCAAACATAATTATGTTTGTGGTGAATACCGGTATGGTCATGTAACTCATGTCACTGTGCTGTGGAGTGTGGTAACTTGATGGAATACTAAATTCACAACCACACTAGCTGCATGAGACGTTCTTATACAGTGCTAGCAATTTTGCTAGACACATCACTCTGATATGCAACTTGAACCCACAGAGTGCCTGGTTGAAATCCTACAGGCAAAGATTTGTTCAAACTTGCGGAGGAGTGCGATGTTCTGAGCTGGCTGTATGCTGCACTTCCCAGCTGTTACAACATTGCACACAAGACGCACACTCAGTCCAATGGAAACTGACAGTGCTTGCAGTGCCTCGCTGGCAAAGGCAAGGACATGCATGTGAGAATCAATATACATGACGACGTACAGTACGGCTATGAATAGGCAAATGGTGGAACTTGCTGATTGAGTACAGCTTTCATCCATGATTTGCAAAGTGTCTTTTAATAATTATATAGAACCTGAATGCATCAGTGTGACTCACATTTCTTGTGTGACCATATCCAATGGTGGGATGGCCAGCTACGTCCAGGTATGCCTTCAGGCGGAGACCTTCAAAGTGCTTCACCAGATCCAATCCCCTCCGACCTGTTGACATTTGCCGTTTAGGACTTGTGGAATATCTTCTGGCTTGTCTCAGAGTCGCATTTAGCTTGAAAAGCCGAGCTGGAAGAGCCACCGTTGGTGCCACCTCCTCAGTCAACCCAGGACCACTGTTTTTTTTGTTTCCACTGAGGCTGCTGGATTTTGGAGTTGTTGTTTCCTGTGTAGAGTTGCCAAGGCGAGGCCCTGATGGCTGTAAGGATCCAGGATTAGGTACTGACGTTGGTCTGATTTCCCGACCCGGTGGTGGTGACCTGACGCCTGGGCCAGGCCGTGGCGAAGGTCTGGCTTTTGGGGTGTGCGGCTGTGATGGCTGTGGTCTGGCTTTGGCGCCTGGTGATTTTGGTGATGGTGGTTGGAGTCCGGGGCCATTTGATGGTGGTGGTGGTTGTGGTTCAAATTTGGGGCCTGGTGGTGGTGGCGGTTGGATTTCGGGGCCTGGTGGTTCAGGCCCTGCGGCAGGTCCAGGTCCAGAATCAGGCCCTGGGGCAGGTCCAGAATCAGGCCCTGGGGTAGGTCCAGAATCAGGCCCTGGGGCAGGTCCAGAATCAGGCCCTGGGGCAGGTCCAGAATCAGGCCCTGGGGCAGGTCCAGAATCAGGCCCTGGGGCAGGTCCAGGTCCAGAATCAGGCCCTGGGGCAGGTCCAGGTCCAGAATCAGGCCCTGGGGCAGGTCCAGGTCCAGAATCAGGCCCTGGGGCAGGTCCAGGTCCAGAATCAGGCCCAGGGGCAGGTCCAGGTCCAGAATCAGGCCCTGGGGCAGGTCCAGGTCCAGAATCAGGCCCTGGGGCAGGTCCAGGTCCAGAATCAGGCCCTGGGGCAGGTCTAGGACCAGGGTCCACATTAGATCCATGATCTGGCTTTCTCCCATTCTCTTGATTTTGTTTCTTCTTCTTGTCCAAGTTTTCACCAGGCTTCTTCTTCTTCTTTCTGTTGCTTACTTTCCGACCACCTTGTCCCTCCTTTTTACGGTCCCGTTTCAGCGTGTCATCCGGCTTCTTTCGTGGGTGACTCCTTCCTGGCTGCTTTTTGTTCCGATCTCGTCCACGTTTCCATCTCAGCCACTGCCTGTACATGTTCTTACCCTTTCCACCAATCCGTTTCAGCCACTGCTTGAATGCGTTGCCACTTTTTCCATTACTCCGTCTCGGCCACTGTCTGTTGCGACTTTTTCCACGGCTCCGTTTCGGCCACTGTCTGTTGCGACCTTTTCCACGGCTCCGTCTCGGCCACTGTCTGTTGCGACCTTTTCCACTGCTCCGTCT